TGGTGCAGAGAATAATTATTCCTGTATAAAGTCACAAGTGCTTCTTCAACAAACTTATAGACGAGTTACTTTTTTGTTTACGTCTTTGTATAACATATCATTACCTCGTTAAACCCAGTCATTTATAGCAATATTATATTGCTCTATGATGTAACTCGTAATGAGTGTGTGGGATAAAACTATCTGAGGAAGCTGTAGTGTACACCTTAATTCATTAACGGTGACCAACTAGACAAGTGTTTTCCTTAACACTTTCCTTCAGATTGTTAATACTCCCGAAGGAGACGCGCTTTTGGCTGGGAAGTGAAGGAGTTAATACACCTCCACATGACAAAGTTGGAGTGTACCGGAGTCAGGCGACACCTCTCCCGAGATGAACCTGGCTGATACAGCCTTAGGAGACTGTATAAGGATTTCTTGACTTTCGTACGCTCTCCCGGGAAACTCTCCAAACTCATCGTAGGCACTGAACCCTGTATAAGACTCCAAAGGCGATGTTCCCACTCGCAACTTTAAGCCATACATGTTGTTATAAGCATTGGAATTTGGCTGTGCGACGACCATAATGTGACTGAAGGTTACTACTGCTCCCAAATCTAACACAAACCATTTTTCTTCGTCGGCTGAATCGGACTGGAAACAAGTTTTTATATCAAAATAATATATGCCATCAACTAAGTTCTCTTTTGTTTTACTTGCAACAGCATATTGTAGACCAGCTATGATGTTTGCATTGGTGGCATAGTCCTTGGGACGTTTGGTGTAGCAGAGGATAGCATCGCCATTGTAGGTCTCCCTGTAGGTGGGCATCACGAAGGTGTTGTAGAAGGTGCACGTCCTGGCGGAAAAGTCAGGGTACCAAAGGTTACACCATCCCAGTTTTATGCAGGTGTTGCCGCAGGTCCATATCACAGTGGAGTTAGTAGACAAGGTAATTTTTTCAACCTTCTTATATGAAGACACCTTGGCGAGGGACACCAAAACTTGGTGCCATAGATGCAGCTCGCCACCGTCCACAGATGACAGTGGCAGAAGGAGCACCATAGACAGCGTCATAACCCACACGGAATACAATAACATGACGAGATCCAACACCTCAATGGTTTGTGTATGGTGAAACAACAAAGTCTGGAGAACGACTGTGTAGATACAGTACGTAGTGTCGGTGATAAAGTAGCAACACCCAGACAACCGCTGTGCAGACAGGCAAGGTGGGGTGGTGTTGCACCAACGGAGTCCTAGCTGCTACTAAAACATATTGGTTTACAGACAATAGTGTTCGTCAGTCACAATGTTTTCTCTATCATACGGAATTTTCTATTGATCCCATCTGTGTGCATGATAAGTGAGTTAGTGCGAACCCATGCCGTGTGTGAAATCATGCTTTTATGCTTTTTATTAATGTGTGTGTGTGTGCTAGGTTGGAAGGGTCTTGTTTACATACTTCATATTTATTCTATTTATTCTTCTTTTCTACTTCTATTCTTAGTCTTTTCTTATATAAGTATCTGTCTTATATTTCTTGGCTCATATTTTCTAAGTCAATATTCTTTTCTTTACTTCATTTTTTCTTTCATATATATTAAGGCATTTTCTGAATTCTATGTCCTTACTTTCTCTCAATTATATCCTGTTTTAGTTATATTCTAAACCATGAATTAGTCTGGGAAACCATGTCATTCTTATTATAACACTTATTATACTTACAACGGTAGCCTGCCACCACCCAGACTGTTATTAGAACATAACATATCTTAGTGAACTGTTAGGTAGCGTGCTAGCGAGCTTCTAGGCACGTAAGTTAAGGTTATTTTCTGAGAACCAATGGGTAGAAGAAATAGAGCGGTGAGACTTGAAGTTTACTTATCCAATATTTATTAACATATGGAGTGAACAAGATGTTAATTAATTACACTCAGACAAGCCTGGACCACTTAGGTCTTACTTTACATTAATAGCAAAATAGATCTTCATTTCTTGATCACAACATTACACTCTCATTATATTACTTCATTGTCATTACAGATGATTATATAACACACTCAACAAGATCCAAAATTAAGATATTATTAAACACATCCTGTTAGTTCGGGATGAACAACATGGCACCCTGGTTGGTGGACTCATCTCCTATAACAACGGTATCACTAGTAACACCAACATTCATGGGTGTAATGCTCAACCTGGGATAACTATATTTCTGCTAATTATCCCCAATCATAGATACCAATACTGCTAAATACATATAACCAAGGTCGTTGGAGAGGACAAGACTGAGTCCACTGGTCGCCGCAACACAAACAGCCGAAGCTCGTTTGCTAGTCGTGCCCTGGGGTATACTCGGTGCAGTATCTTCACTGTGTTCCCTGAGTAGTCCTGTCCTAAGAATTTTAATCTCGTCATATTAAAGACATCCTTCAAGAATCATCTTGCCCATAGGCGGCTAGGTAGTGGTGCCAACACAGACAGTGCCTGGAGATGCGTTCAGGAAAAGTCACGAGCGTGTAAATTTCTAACTCAAATACTCATAACTATACGTCTGGCAGCAATACAGACGACCTTTACTTTACTCGAATTACTTGGCACATGATTATTTTACTGTTGAAACCTGAGCGCTGATACTCACAAAATCGACTAAGTTAAACTGACTTAACATGGCGGCAGGAAACAATCGTTCACATACCTGGATATGCGTTGAGGAAGAGTCACGAGTATGTGATTCTTCCTTGTGCATTCGTATATATGTGAGCCTGGGGCAATTCCGGCCTACGCATACATACCAGAAAGGCTAATCTCACCAGCAACATAAATTCTATTCAACTCTGTTGCTGTACACTCAACTAAGAAAATCAGTGTCACGGGTCAGGTGAATTTCCCACGTCCATTTTTATAATCTAATACGAGATTGAGTTTGTCAGGAAAAAGTGAAATGGACGTTAAACATGCACTAACAACTCTACTTTCCAAACAACAACAAACCGCAGTCAAGGAATTTTCCCTGGGGAGGCGTTAGGTCTTGGAGATTTTGAGTTTGACAGAATCTTTTTAGGAGATTAATGACTTACTTAAATAGACAACTGACACTAACTAAACTACAAACATCCGATTCTCCGATGTTTGGGCATCAAAATAATCTAACTTCAGTAGCACTTGGAAACTCATGGCTATCCCCAAGGACGATATAAGGATATGCCACTCATACTGACAGACTCGGCACTCACTTACTTGACAAGTTTTACCAACAATAAAGACAGTTGAATCCTTAAACATCACTCACAATGGATCTTGAATGTCCCAACTGTAATCAGACATATCTAAGTTGCCTCAACATATGAAACCACAGTTGCAATTTCAAATTCTGTGTTATTATACTAAGGAATAACGAAGTCTCGGGTGCACTCTACGATTGACAGAAAACGAAGGACTCAGGCGTCCTGAATCGATGAGAAAATGGACTCCTCAGACGGGGGACTCAAATAAAGAAAGCATAGCTGCATGTTTTGTGGGCTGTTGAGCGTAATGTGAATCGTCTGATTTTACGTTAACTGACGTGTACGACCGTGGTCATTACAAGGTGAGGGACGAGATAAAGCGGTTATTGTAGATGCACAGAATAGCTAACGCGTTAGCTATTCTGTCTGAGCAAACGCTTCTGCTGAGTTCTGCGCATGACACCTTGAGAGGGAAAAGCAACCACCTTGATCGGGCTTTAGTGTGTGCAGCTACCGAATAGCTAACAACCAATCAACGAGTTTCTCCAGTTGGTAAATAGGAGGGACACGTGGTTGTAGGCCGCCACACTGCTGGTGTTGTGGGAGGGACACGTGGTTGTGGGCCGCCACACTGCCGGTGTTGTAGGAGGAACAAGTGGTTGCATGCCGCCACACTGCTCTTGTTGTAGGAGGAACACGTGGTTGTAGGCCTTTTTTGCCATTTATAGCGGCTAGTTCATTGTGCACCCAATACCCATCCTGTGAGCGGTAGCGCAAAAGGATTACAGAGCCCAATTCACAAAGGGTCTGTATAACTAACCCCGGTGGTCAAGATATTACGGCGTTGAATGTCACAGAGTATTTCGAATAAATTCTTTGTTTAGTTCCATACGTCATAGAGGGTAACTTATTTGCAACTGCGTGAGTACAGCAGTGTGTCTGGCCTCACACTTTGTTATTCACATTTGCGTGAGAGGTATTCATTCACAGTGTGTGTTGTGTTCCATACATGGAAACTGATATAGCTACTTAGTGCACAAAAGTGGATACAATCTTAATATGTCGGCTATTTTACCATTAGAGATAAAGTGTTGCGCCATTTCACACACAGTGTGCTTGTTCCTGTCCCTAAAAGGTTCTATCTTCGCACAGTCGAGGACGTAGTGTTGGGAGTGTGTGTGGCCATATGTATGGCCACACACTTTACATTTAGTCTTGCTCACATCTGCTTGAGGAACATACTGCCAGATGTACTTATATCCTTACCTTACTTTAACGGTTACAACATTTTGTAATCTAGTGATCTTGTTACTTACTCCATATGCATGTTTCACTTGATACATCTCATTATGGTAAACACTGGATTGACTAGTGCCTGTTTGCACTTGTCTGCTTGCGTCAAATTCATCAACTAGTTCCTTCTTAATTACAGTTTTAAGGGTTGTTTTTGACAGACCCAGATTGTATTCAAATGTCTTTGTTAGGCGCGAGTTTGGTGAGGGCATCAACTCTGTCATGTTCTCCGAGGCCTATGTGAGAGGGGATCCACAATAGCTGCAATATCAAATGCAGCTTTTAAGTCAAGAAATGTGGTGTATCTGTGCTTTTCATCCCCATGCACATTTAGGAATGTATTGAAGCAGTTATGTCCAGGCCTTAGAGTCTAAGGCCTCGACATCGTCTAAGGCCTGACACAGTCTTAGGCTTAGACTGTATCAGGTCACCGAGCTTCAAACTCACGCTAATGGATAAAAGATCTGGAGGATTAAAAGGTAGAATGAGGGTCAGTTGGTTCTCACAGCCCCAAGCAGTGGCTTTATTTACACTTTGTTGTCAGACAGAGATCACCAGACAATCATCATCTGCCTTCCAATGAAAACTTTTTAGTGTTGCAATACACAACAATATATTCACTGCTTGACGGTTGTATCTCTTCTGTACCACGCTGACTGTGTCAGCCAGGACGTCAGCCTCTTAGGGGAGTCGGTTCACTGAAGTTGTTTAGCATAAGTTCCTCTTCGGAAGTCTCCGCTGGTACCCTCACCCTGTAGACCAATAATATATCACCTGGTTTATGCAGCTAATGTAAATACTGACTATCAAAATAAATTGATATACTGTACAAATATAATAATGATAATATTTATCATTGTAATAATTACAATAGCAAATATAATATTAATAGATAACCGAGATAAATTTTAATCCATTGATTGGTAGGGATTTCTCTCAGCTGAATAAAATTGTTTGACGTTTAACCAGAGTGCGCCATTACTCCTTAAGGAGTTAAGCCAAAATCATATAAACAAATTTGAGTAAAATTCATCTTGACAGAATTCCAGACGAGGAGCAAGTTGTTTATTGTTCAGGTGTTCTGGGGAGTTGGATACTTACCCACTACATACTAAGAGGTACAGTAGATCAAACTCACATTACAGTAAAACATGGTTTCTATATACACCATTATATATGTCCGTACACCATCCTCGCCACCGTCTCCTGCAAGATGCTATTCGACACTACAAGCTCAGACTGATCGCTATAAGAACAGCCCCATTCCAACCATTGTAAAAACCATCAACAACTCATAGATGACTTGTTTGTTACCGTCCTGCCCTGCCAGTCTCACTTTTGTACTGTAACTGTGCTGAAAGTTTTTGTCATTATATATATATATATATATATATATATATATATATATATATATATATATATATATATATATATATATATATATATATATATATATATATATATATATAACACGGAATAGGTAAGGGGTGGCCACTCATTACCTCTGTATCCTGGACGTGTCAGCCATTCTCCTCTGTTGCGCCACCTTAATCGCCTCCAGCACCATGGGCATCGCTGGCACTGCCCAGTCACTAGTCCCAGCTGAGTACCGACTGTCAACACAAAATATTGACTCATAAATATATCTGCATGTGCAGTTGTGGCTGTGCTAATACTTGTGCCTCTACCTCCATGTGTATCTGTATCTTTCCCGATACAGTATCTGTACATGTATCTGTATTTGCACCAGTAGCCGTAGTTGCATCTATATTTAAAACAGTGCCTGTAACTGTACAGCTGGCTGTATTCGCATTTGCACCAGTACTTGTACCTACAGTTATACCTATACCTGTATCTGCACTTATCTTTATATTTTTATCTGTACGTGTATTTATGTCCTATGTGTGCTTTATTTTTATATGTACCTACACTCCTATCTGTATCTTCACATTTATTTGTATCTTACCTGCACCTGTACCTGAACTGTCGCTTGTGATTTTATAAAATTATATGAAGTCGCCTCATTATCTAGAGATCATCTTCTCTAAAACAGCAGTTTCTAAAACTGAATATGGGAGAACACTAAGTTATAATAATGGTCATATTCTGGAAGACAGAAATATATATATATATATATATATATATATATATATATATATATATATATATATATATATATATATATATATATTCTCTTTCCAGTGTACTAGCATTATAATCCAGCGAGGACGTACCGGAACTTTTTTAATAATACTGCGCTTTAAAATGCTATCACTGTGAGATATATAATGTACTGTATATCCCTCACCAGTACTTAGATAGTGGACATCCCACCAGGTACAACACCTGCCATGCCTCCTCCGTCTGCATCGTGAGGGTGAAGTCTTGACGGGTGAGGGTATGAACCTGTCGGACGTTGTGGGCATGAAGGTCGCGGAGGTTGTAGGTGCGGGCCTGGTGGGTAAGGTGGTGAGAGTAAGGGTGAATCCTAAGCCGTATCACGCCCTCATACAGCTCCTTCACCTCCTGGTCGTCGGTGCCCAGACACTGTGAGGCAAGAACCACCAGTTGAAGCATAGTAACGAGGAATTCCTTGATACTGTGGTAGACGTCACGTCTGTTTACCTGTGATAACAAGAGCGACACCCGACTCGGCTTCTTTTTAAAGAAGGTTAAACAAGAGTGACTGAGAATAAAGCTGGGTCAGCCAGGGAAGGACAAATGGTTTTGTTTAGTCAGCCAGTTAACTATATTAGGTTGATATTGTTAAGTTGACTTGCACATCAAGGACTTCACAAGACAATAGTCCACTAGAAGGGTCAAAAGGACCCTTCTAGTTTCTCTCAGTAAGATAAAAGTATATGAGTAGTTAGTGGATGTGTAGAGAACAGATACTAAGGGCATCTAAAGAGTCACTCAGCGTACCAGAGCGCCACTCACCGCCTGCATGAGGTAGAAGCTGAGATATTGGTCTGAGCGGCTCACCACACCCAGGTACAAGACGAAGGGTCCAGTCTGTGGGAGAAACAGAGTTAGTATTGCTCTCTCTCTCTCTCTCTCTCTCTCTCTCTCTCTCTCTCTCTCTCTCTCTCTCTCTCTCTTACCTTGTTTTTTGGGATGACGTGGACGTGGCAGGGGTGGTCGAGGAGGTGAATCTTGGTGGCGTGACGTATCTCATCCTCGAACCAATGAGAGTAGTTCTTGGCCACCAGTCTACAGATATATAAATACATATATATATATATATATATATATATATATATATATATATATATATATATATATATATATATATATATATATATATATATATATATGCAAGTAAATCACTGTAGGTGCGCGTGATCTAGGTATATGCTGATAACCACAAGGAAAGAAGAAAACACGAAGTTCCCAAGCGCTTTCGTGTAATTCACATCTTCAGGGGTGAGGACAGACTAAAGAGAAGTACAAAACAAGGTGTATATATACAGAGGAGGGTGAGGAGCGCTTGGGAATCCAATGCTCTGTTTGTTCATTTAAGGGATAACAAGCATTGCATTGACTGGGATAATGCTTCCTCAATATTACCTTGCAATTCAATTGATAGTAGGAACATCATAGAATCTAGTCTTATTAAACATACCGAAGCATTCAACATGAATTTGAGTAATGGCCTGTACAAACTGGACAATTTTGTAATTAAGAAGATTTGTAACCAGGTGAGAAAGTTGGGTCACCTTACCCTCAGACCTGACCACCAACCGTTGTGTGCTATTTAAAGATTAGTAGGGTCATTACCTAATACCTGACCATTGTGGACCTGGTCTCACCCTCCTCTGTATATATACACCTTGGTTTGTATTTCTCTTTAGTCTGTGCTCACCCCTGAAGATGTGAATTACACGAAAGCGCTTGGGAACTTCGTGTTTTCTTCTTTCCTTGTGGTTATCAGCATATACCTGATCACGCATACAGTATATTATATATATATATATATATATATATATATATATATATATATATATATATATATATATATATAACCATGCACACACACCTGTGAACGTGCTTCAGTTCTACGTCAGGTCGACGGTTTAGTAATCTGGTGCTGAAGAAGAGGTGCTGCTCCCAGCCCGTTACGTGGACCCCAGCCGACCCCCCGTGAGCCGTCCTAGACACCTCCGGCACCACCGCCTCCATACCAGCACGGGCGCCCTCGGTGTACAGCCACCAGTCCCAGTCGCGGCCGGGCTACAGCGAAATAATGTAAGAGAGAGAAAATGAGGAGGAGAGACAGAGTAATTACGAAAACAGAAAAAGAGAGAATGACTATAATCTACAGTAATCAGAACAGACGCCCTCAGAGTACGCCCGCCAGTGAATGTGACAAAGAAAAAGTTAGAGAGAATGGGAGACTATTAGAAAAACTAAAAGCCAAGTGCTACTAACCCCGGGAGGCACCCAGAGAGGAAGTATATTCTCGACCCAGCGCCTGCAGGTCATCCAGCCGTACTGTGGGTACATCTCGGCCCGCAGCACGGTTGAGGAGTCGCGAGCAGTATTTGGATACGAGTTCTGGCCGAAGGCGCTGACAAAGTTAAGTGTCGGGTCGAGATTCAGCGCCAGCGCCGCCTGGTGGAAGTATCTGAGGGCGAGGAGGACGGGGAATTAAAGATGAGAGGACAGGACACACAGGCGCAAGAGACACTTTCATCAAATTATATCACCTGTTAACCAAGACAGGTGATATATTCTTAAAGTGGGTTTTTTCACATATTTTTTACTCTTACAACTTTTAGTTTTTTTTTTTAGGTATGTAAAAGGACACAGAATAAGGACAGTAAAAATTACAAGAAGCTTTAAGTGAAATTATATAATAGTAAAAAAAACGTGGCACTATATTTTCGTCCAAAAAAATAAAATTTATGAGAATAGAAAATTCAAAGACCAAGGGTCCAGGATATAAAATGTATGACAGGATGGAAGAAATGTATACAGAAAAGAACATCGGAATGATAGTGGACTGTAGGATGAGTTTCTCGACCATCTGGCAGAAAAATATATTAAATCAACAGTATTGTGGGGCTTATAAGAAGAACCTTCCCATGTCTGGACGAAGAGGTATTAAGTCTGGTGTCCATACCTAATAAAAGTTACCGAGACCATAGAGAATACGCCAAGACGAGCAACCAGACGAGGACAGTACCAAGACTGGAGCAGTTGTCTTATAAGGATAGATCAAAGAAGCGAAATTGACCCACATCGGCTTACAGAAGATCTGGAAGTGATATGTTGGAAACCTGTAAGACCTTGTGTGGTGATGATATATCTATTCTGCGGGGAGAGTCATCAACCAGGCCACATTTGTCAACGAAGTACTCGATTTCATATAATGAAAAATCTTTCTGCGGTACAATTATAAATAATTTGAATGTTTTGTTCCCATACATCATACATTCAGTACACTGAGAAGTTTTATGATTTTTTTATAAAGCGCTGGAAAATTGGGAGTAAAATATATAGTAATGGAGTAAAAACTCATTGTATGATAACAGCCTCGACCACCGACACGCTATAATCGGTTATCAGTGATGTATCAGGAGCCGAAGCCTCGCCTTAGGGCCTCTTTCAGAAAACACATCTGTAAGTATCTGTAATAAATAAAATAAAATTCTGTTCTTTGTAAACAGGCTGACCTTAGTAAGTCCGGGGCCAAGATGAGGTCGTCCTCGAGCAAAATGACCTTGTCGACGTGAGGCCATCTGTTCAGCCCGCTGTACAAGGCGAAGGCGATGTTCATGTTGATCCTACAGGGAGAAGTGATGGTTAGTATACAGTAGCTGAAAAGTTTTTCAAATCAATTTTAATTTGCTGTCCTTCAAAAGGTACAGTTATCAGTTGTTTGTAAAAATAAATACAATCGGTGTAAAATATTGTAAACTGGCAAAACGAGCGTCTTTGACCACCTTGAATGATTACTTCCTGTATGTTACCCATTAGAAAAGTTTATGTAAATCATTTTGCGTGCATGCATACCTTCCTGGCTGTTCAAAAAATTACCATAGATTTTTATATTGTCTACAAACTTGATTATATAGTTCTCTATCTCTTCATCAATATACTGATACAGTATATTGTACTGCATCAGCAGGGTTGGTTCCAGAATAGATTCTTGAGGCACTCCACTGGGAACTCCTTTCCATTCCGATTTTAATCCATTTTTTGACCATTTTCATGTTCCTGTCTATGAGTAATTCACTCCAACATTTTACCTCTAATGTCATGTGTATAAACCCGTAAAGCCAACCGTGTCAGTGCAACTTTGTCAAACGCCATCTACAACGCATTCACTGGTAAACCTGGTCCACGTAGTCTGTTACTGTTTTAAGGACTGTGATACGACTGTTCACTGTCAAGTGTTCGATAAGAGCGATTTGTGATCCATCCACTCCTGGAATTGTGAATTAATTTAAGCTGGCTATCTTTTTCTTGACGATTTCATCTGTGATTGCTGCACCTCTTAATTCATTTTCAACCCCTGAAGTATCTCTCTTCTTAAGTGTTGAATGTGATCGAGTATCTTCTGTGTGAACATTGATGTAACATATTCATTTAGAGAAAGAAGGCCAAAGGTATCTTTCGTCAGCATTCTCTCTCTGGTATATATACATAAAAGAACTAAGGATCTTTCTAAATATTTTGGGCCAGCTTCCTCAGGACAAATAATGTTGTTGATCTTATTTCTTGACTGGTCACATCCAGAGGTCTTTATTGTACACTATATTGTCCCCGTAAACTGTTGTGACTCGGTTTTTCTTCCGTCGATGGTATTTTCTTGTAATGACTCGCTTGATCACCTTGAAATTTCTGTCATGCCTCCCCTCTGTCTGATTCTTCAATATCCCCCCCATTTTATGCTTTATAGTGTTACTATAATATCTAGACTCATATATAACCAAACTAACTAATCTTATCTAGTAGGTTACAATCTATTGCATTAGTGAAAAATTATCAGCATATTCCTCCACTCATTTGTGCGTGTGACTGTGCAAACTTGGAAAAGACCAACAGTAATTCTGCATACAGGTACCTAAGTGTAAATGAGGGCAAGTTGACTCACCTGGTGTTATGGCTGGGTTGGCCCTGTGGGATGTGGGTGACAGTTTCTACCTGGAAGACGTTGGTCAGCTCCAGTGTCTCCCGGTGTGGCCCGTCTACCACCACCAGTACTCTAGTCTCCTTTGAACCAGCCAAGGATTTCAGATTTTTTAAAATCCTGTTGGAAAAAGGAAAAACAATTTTAATATTAAAGTAAATGTATGAAAAGGTCGATAATTCGAGGAAGAGCATATGCCGCATTTTTACTTGTTATCTTAGTTGTTTCTTGTCATTTTTTAGAATTGTCTTCGAGGTACAGATCCTCTTCTGACTTTTAACCAATATAGAAGCTTCTATTGTCGGCTCCTCACTATCCCAATAATAACTAACGTCGCCATATCCAGTTTTGGTTAGAGTTTCACGATAACAACTGTAAAACGTCTAGTCTGCTCTATAGTTGTCCACGTAGAGGAAATCCACAAACAGCAACTAACGAGGATCACCAACAATGTGGCAAGAACAAGATCAAACAGACTCGCCACTTATCTCAACAAACACCAGCTACCTCTCTTGGCATTTCACTTGAGTGGGTGCTAATCTTGGGTACAGAAGTGTGTGCACGATGATCTCCCAGAACGCTAACAGATGCAATGAAGGAGAGGCAGATGGAAGCTCCTGGGTGTTGTTGTTGAGAGATGAACAGGAAGGCAGCGAATTCTTATGCAGCATTGTGACAGACTATGAAAACAGAGTGCGCCATTGTGACCTACAAGGCAAAAGACATTATGATTCAGAAGACAGGATTCGTTAAATTCGCTCCGACATTCAGATACAATAATTCTCCTCCAATGTGACAATGCACGGGGCCTCATAAGAGTGCACTGAAGACTGAATCAATTCGCCGCTTTCGTTTCACTATCTTGAACCATCCACAATACAGTATAACCTGGGCATTACTTCTCATCACGCCTCGTAAAGTTTATAGTGACTATTATTATTAAATATCCTTTTCACTGTTATATTTTAGGGAAGCAGAAATTAATTCATGGTTTACTCCCACCTGCTGGTGTCTGAGCTTGACCTGGGTTTACATCCCTTGAAATCTCGTGTGAGTCGCGGCGGTCGAGCGGATTCAGAAGTCTGTGGTTCGATTCCCAGGCGCTCCCAGTTTACCCAGCTGCAAATCGGTACTATCTAAGTTTACAGCTTGGGGAAGTGAAGGCGGTTGAGTACAGTACCGGCCATGCTGCCTCCTTGTATACCGAAAGGCTTAGTATACAGTGTGCTGTATCCACACTGTCCCTAACGAGCAGTCATGCCTATGAGACCCACGTTCGCATCCCGTGTATTTGGTGAATAAATGCCCAATGCATTACATTATAAAAAATACAAACTATATCTTACTATATGACTTGGCTTACCGGTAGAGGTAATAAGGTTTGTTGGCCGTCACAATCACTACCGGTATCTCCTCACTCATGGGTATACTGGGCTGGAAAAACATTTATTTTATTAGAGGGATATATATATATATATATATATATATATATATATATATATATATATATATATATATATATATATATATATATATATATATATATATATATATATATACAGTATGTTTTATATCCCAAGAAAGACTATTCTTATACACTTCATTAATACTGATTTTTTACTTTACTTTTCATACTTCTGCTTTCTAGTAGTTAAGTGCATATTATATGATTCACGTGTTGTGTGTGTGTGTGTGTGTAACGATAAATAATTACTCTGGTTACATTCAAGTTAAGTTCCAAAAACACTACAGCAGGCATCACAAGGTGTACTCACGGGCGTAGTGGGTAGGGTGGTAGGGGTATAAGGTCCCTCACACCTACACAGTTCTCCATAACCCTCATAGGTGTCACAGAACCTCCACTGGGCCTCTTGCTGCGCCGCCCACGACCCGCCGCACCACCCATCTGCACCACGACACAAACAACCACGATTTAGTACATAAACCGCACCCCCATTGTATACCACCAAACAGTTCATGGGTGTACAGCATCTCATGAACAATACCCATCAACACCACCACCCACTGTCAGTACATGGACCAGTCAACCACCCACACGATCCGCCTACACCACCACCCAAGAGAGTCAAACAACAGAAATAAGGGTGTGAGGCAAGGACCTACCTGACGAGGCCTTGGGGAGGTCCACCTGCAGTTGAAGGTTTGTTGAGGATCTGCCAATCTCCTTCGTGGCCACTGCTTCCACTAGTACCTTGCCGGGAACCAGAGTGAGGCCCCTGGGGTGCCCCGTGATGGTGATCATTCCCCAGGGCTCTCCGTCGGCTACCCGGGGAACCAGCATCGACCCCACCCCCACGAGGACCTCCACGCCCTTCCTTTCCAGGAATGTCATGAAGTTTGGCTGTAACCAAAATTTTAAAGTGTACATTGAACGTGTCACTATTTTTCTTCTTTGCCACAAGTTGGCTCCATCTTAATCTGCAGAGTATTCTTATGAGATTTTTTTCCCACCAAAATGAATAATTTCGACCCTGTAAATCTTTAATCGAAATTCATTTTGGTGGGTTCTGGGGGGCCAATGATCCCTCTCTACACAATATTTTTTTTACGATGATTTGGAGCTAACGAGAAAATATTTCAGAACTATTTGGACGCCAGGAGCTAAGTTTTTCCAAACATTTGGACCTCAAGAACATGTATTTCAGAATGAAATCATCAGGAAAAAAATCTAAATATATTAAACTCTATGGATCAATATTTCATATCTATTTAAACCCCCACAACTAATAATTTTAAACTTCACTGAACTCAAAAGCAAATATTTTGTAACTCTCTGGATCCTAGGAACTAGTTACCTGACCCACGAGTATGAGGGCACGGCCGGACTGAAGGGAAACTAGGCAGGCGTGCAGGTTGTGGCGCTCGGCTGGCTGGTAGGTACGAAATCGACGTGCCAGCATCAATTTACCGGTCCGGGAGTGCAACACCACCACGTGAACGCCCCCGCCCCATCCATTCTCCAAGCCTTCATGTTCGTACACCTGTGAACACAAGACATCTGAGAAGCGCACGACTGACACACGAAGGTAAATGTGTAGTTAATCTCTGGTCCTGCATTTTCGTGATATATTTTGATGCAGTAACAAGCTCCCTCCCCAAAAAAATACGAGTGTCCCCTCATTGATGAGTGGGCTTCCTATTAATGAGTGGGCTCTCTTTAATAAGTGTTTCCCCCTCTGACCTGTCGCCGAGTACTCACAATGGTGTTCTCTCGTAGAACCAGGACTTGGTTGTGGTTGGCCTTCACCGTCAGCGACATAGTGTCCTCCTGCAGCTCTAAGGATTAGTCACGATAAAAATATGAAACGTCCATTAGGCATAAATAATTTAAAAGCAATGTTACATGATTAACTTTGTTACTTTTATTACTGTGGTTGTCATTACTATCTATCTCAACTTTGGTATTATTATTCATGTGTAATACTTAGAATGATAACAGTAATGAATTATACGAAATTTGATAACTAGAATAATACAGATCTCGGCATAAGTCATAACAAGTAATGTATCTTTATCAATAATAAGTCACAAGGTTTTCCTCAATCGCGTAGTCTATAATTTATTTCTGAGTCATATACTGTATAATACTACTCCAAGAAACTTTGCTACACACACACACACACACACACACACACACACACACACACAGTAATACCCCCATCACCCAACCGGCCTGTTACGTGAGGGGGCACAGAGCGGTGATTTTATCGTCACGAATACCATCAAAAAGTTTCCTCACAAACGCCACCCTGAAATGCTGTCGTTTTGACGTCGTCACGAATACCATCAAAAAGTTTCCTCACAAACGCCACCCTGAAATGCTGTCGTTTTGACGTGAAATTAATTGAACAGTGAACACCTGCCTGCCTAGAGGATCAGAAATGGACCACATAACTTAAGAACTATGTTACAGAAACAATAAACATGTTTACATATTTTGTTGAAAAGTACACAATGATATCATGATGTTTTAGGGAGCTAGCATTTTTCTTCCAACCTCCATCAACTCTTATTGAAGAACCAAAGGGAATATGTTCCGTTAAGTAAGCAAATAATTATATTTTTCTACTAAATAATCACTGTGTTACTTCGAGAAATTATTCATCTGTATCTAAAGTTGGATGTCAATAATCTACTGACAATATATAAATAGTTTTCTTTTAATAATCTGGCGTTATCTCACAATATCATGTAAGGCGCAATGGGCTTAATGGGCTTAAATGTGCTTTATACTGTGCTTTATACTGTGCTTTATACTGTACTTTATACTGTGCTTTATACTGTGCTTTATACTGTGCTTTATACTGTGCTTTATACTGTGCTTTATATCCGCTTGGCGACGCCACCGTCCAGTAAGCCATCATCCTAGAACACAATCTTTTTGCATAGAGGGTCACAATAAAATCATATGATGCATGATGGGCCTACACTCATTAGCTATACAGTATTGTTTTTAAAATTCTAATTTAATGAAAAATTTAAAGGAACGGAAGTCATGAACTGTACTAGAGCTCTGTAAATTAATCAAGAGTGAATGTAAACGCTTCTCTAAGACCGCTGACCTACCCGCAAAAAAAAAAACGAACAGTAGACGACGCCTCCAGAGAAAACCATAGCATTTCGCTTGTTTTAAAACCAGCTGAATTATAGGAAAAGGAATCTAAATTTCCAATGACTTTACTATAATAGCTGCTCTGGTGTGACGGCCAAAACTAATAAGAGTAATTACCTGTATTAAGTAACCATCTCACCTTTCATTTTTCTCCATCTTTGTAATGAAATATCAGATGCCTCCCACCTTAATGACGTCACACCCCCTATTGCCACCATCATCACCAGCAGGTAGATCATCTTCATCACCTCAGCACCACCAGGCACATCATCACGTCGTCAACTTCTGTTAATCATAAAAAATAACTGTAATGTTTGTGTTTCTGTGATACTGACATGTTATTTACTGTGCTCCAACAACTAAGGTCTCAGTCCGTAACGAGGTTAGTAATACACTCGTCCAAAAACATTAAAAATTATGAGAGATATGTGTATGTGCAAGTGTATGATGTTTCTTCAATGACAATAAAGTCAACACACTATGCATACTTACACACGGTAAAGAGGTGGAAAGATGTAAAACTCTTTCCTTGCATTTTTGACGAGGTCTTCACTGATATGTTCTTTTTATTGCATTGAGTTATTTCTGCTGTGGAAACAAGGAACAAGGCGAATTTAATCTCACGATAACCAAATTTTAAATCTCCATACGAAGCGTATACTTGTCTGCGGTCAAGCGAAAAACACTTTCTTCTTTAATGCTATGACAGACTGAAACAAGTTACCAAACCACATCAAAACCAGTTTCGGTATTATGCAATTCAAAGCCAAAACAAGGCTTGTCTACATAATTGATGAGGCTACAGCAAGAGAAGAGAGTGAGTTTGTAATTATTAAACCACAGAAGGTAAAACTAGTAAACGAAGACTGTGCTCATTAGAAGCATTTTAGTGAAAAGCTAAATCATGAGTCATCAATTGAACACGTGTTCACTTAAACCAAATGGATTGAGGTGAAAAGAAGGTTGTGCTCAATGAATACCATAGATACACGCATGTTACAAGACTTGAATAAAGAAAAGGAACATTGACGATCGGTTCTAACACGTATTATAGCAGTTGTGCAGTACCTTGCTGAGCACAACTCTGCTTTGGACAAGTCACTGGATGTTGGAAATTCTCACGTTATTGACGAAGCAGAGTTGATTTCATAAAACAAAACATGTACTTCAAGTCCTTCAGTTTTTAAAATCTCCCAGTGGTTCCTTCCTTAATGCAGAAATAGTGTACAGGATTTTGTTGACAGTTCCAGTCGCAGTGGCATCAGGGGAGCGAAGTTTTTCTAAACTCAAATTGATAAAAGCTAGTATATCTATGGACAACTATGTCTCAAGAGAGGTTGAGTGGACTGGCTATGCACTCCTTCGAATGTTTGCCGATGACGCCAAGTTATTTCGGGAAATAAAGAACCAAGCGGACTGTGAAGAGCTGCAGAAGGACCTCTGTGGGCATCAGGAATGGTCGAAGAAATGGCTGCTGAGATTCAATGTCACGAAGTGTAAGAGGATGCACCTGGGGCATACCAACGGTAAGGAGGCGTATCATATGTCCCAACAGGATGAAGAAACTGCACTAGTTGAGACTGAATGTGAGAAGGACCTAGGTGTGTATGTTGACAATGAGCTGAAGTTCTCGGGCCATTGCGAGAAGAAGGTAAATCAGGCAAATAAATTATTGGGTCTTATAAGAAGGTCGTTCAGATATCCAGACGGTCCGTCCCTCGTAACGATCTTCAGGAGTGAAGTGCTTCCCCATCTGGAGTACTGTCACCCGTCTGGTCCCCGAGATATGCTAGGGACTGTCAGTTGGTTGAAAATGTTCAAAGGAGGACCACCAGACTGGTGCCTGCACTTCGGCACCTCAGCTACCCTGAGAGATTAGAGTTCCTGAACTTGCCTAGCTTATACTACAGACGGGCAAGGGGGGACCTAGTTGAGGTGTATAAGCATCTCAGGGGGCACTACTCAGTTGAGTGTCCTTACTTGGAGCTGGCGGACGCTCGCCCCACAAGGGGTCACAGCTCAAGATTGAAGAAGCAGCAATTCCAGAAAACTGTGAGAGCAAACTTTTTCGGAGTGAGGGTTGTAAACTCTTGGAACAATCTACCAGAGAGTGTTGTGACGGCACCGAGTGTGAGCTCTTTCAAGACAAGACTCGACCAACACTGGAGCGGGTTCAGGTACATTCAGGAGCCGGTGCATGCCCAGTATTTGCCAACAGTGCGTGACAGAGACGTGACCGATCGCCCGGGCGGCTAGCGAGCCAATCTTTTGGTGAAGAAGATAAATGAAAAGGAAAAGTAATCAGAGACGTGGCCGATCGCCCAAGCGGCTAAAGAGCCGAACAGTGGCGAAGAGGATAAAAGTAAAAGTAACTGACAGAGTGGCACCGAAGAGCAAGTATGTGCGATCGTAAACTGATAGAAGAGTTTGCTGGAAAAAAAGCGAGGAAGGTTAATTTCGAAAGTAGGCTGTTTCTGTTACTTCGCAAATGTTTTACAGTATGAGCTGCAATAGTAAATTAAATTAGTTTTCTTTTAGTTATTAATTATGTTACCAAGAAATTTTTCAGTACAGTGCATACAGACTATCTTATGACATTTGTCTTGTTTATATTACAACATATATAAAAAAATAACGTTTTACTTCCCGTGTTTTTTTAATATAATCTTTGCCGTTTATTTTTAATTTATTGTTACTCTTATTTTATCGCCCCCCCCCCAGGCCTCGTTGTGGGTCAGTGACCTATGCCGGGCGGCTCTTCCCCGTAGAAATATATATATATATATATATATATATATATATATATATATATATATATATATATATATATATATATATATATGCAATAATATCACCAGGTAATAAATTTCATGTTTTTCTTGTGTACTTCCGAATCTCATTTTAAATATTTTCACAACTTCCAGAGAACAGTTATCACATACGGTCTCAGGGTCGCAGATCTCTTTCGTTTTCTTTCCATATTTTGTGGGTAATACTATAAAATTATTACCTGTATCCATTACTTTAGTTTTGTAAATATCAAAATAAGCCAGGATATTTTTTTCTTAATTTCACGACTGCAAGCTACGTACACCGTATACCTACAGGTGTATTGTCTGTGAGTACAGTAATCCTGAACTGTCTAACTGCATGACAACTTTACTGAATAAATATTATTGTTACTATTTTCACTACCAGTTCTATCACAGCACCGTGGTTGTATCTTCCTTCATGCCAGGGAACAAACTACGTGTACGAGCCAAGGATTTATTGCTGTGTTTTCCTTATAGTCTCCCCATGGCTTTTGGCAATACACGTCGCTCTCTCGTTGTAGCATCTTTCATATTAACTTGTGTAAATTATCTTTTCATTTTGTTTAATTTGTGTGATAGTGATGTTCCTTCATAAATGTATGAATTATTTTCAGGCAGAAAAAATTCTTTCGTTTCATTTATTTCGTTTAAACATGTCAGAAACTTAGAAGAATTAATTAAGCGTAAGTTTAGCACGAGGGGACATAAATTTTCATTATAATGCATTTTATATTGAATATTTATTTATTTTATCTCACAATAGATTCTTCTTCAGATATCAAACTAAATTTGTTGATACGTTTTACCTGATTTGCGTTTCATACTTTAAAGTGCTGGTGTTGCGTCAGACAGATGTTTATCAAGCAGAATATGGTAACAACATTTTATTTATCCCAACAAGTGTGCTGTCTTAAATACTTCTTGCACAAACATTGCATATTTTCTCCCATTTATATGATGCAGCATATAGATGTCACATATGTCATTGCGCTTCTCACCCTTCTCCTTTATTAAAGCTCATGTGCTAGCAATGGGCGAGATGTGCGTTTAACAAAATATATTAATTCGACGATTTATTGTGTAAAAAAGTAAATTTTCTATCAAAATTGTTTCAACTGTTAAACTTTAATATAGTATAAGTATATAGAATGTTTTTTGAATCACTGTAATGTTTTAAACCTCATTAAGGTTCTCTGCTTCATATTTGGCCATTCAGTAAGGGTTTAAACGAGTCTTCACCCGGTCTGTACACACTGTGACTGTTCTCATGGACGTGTGGGAGACACTACAACAATATTAACTATGGCAAACTTAGCGGTCCAGGACTTGAAAACTTTGGTGCGTATAAAGTGTCAATGTGATGTTGATATATGAATCTAAAACGTAAAATAGGCTCTCTTGTTATAAAGATTGTGTGAAAGTGAGACATTTACTCTCCGCCCAGCTGTCATGTGTAACTTTATTTCATTATGTTATACCAGGCCTGAGGTGCAGTGTTGTGGTGTAGCTTCAGTGAGTGATAGACAGTGGCGAAATTAAGGGTCAATTTATAGGAGAGGACCTAAGTTCAGACAAAAACATACAATTTTCATCTCTAACACTGGCGCATTTTAATCATAACTGAGATATCGGGAGTTGAAAGTCGGAAAACCACTAGAAAAGCTATTTATGTATTTGTTGTCAAATTAAATAAGGGATTTTTCTTTGCAAATATTAGTTTAGACAATTCTAAGACACCTTTCCTCGATGACGTTTCCTCGCAAACGACTTAAAACTGAGATATTTAATGTGCTGGGGAGGGGTGGGGGCAAACTATACAATGATAGTTACTAAAGTGGTCTAAGTAGTTAGGTAGGTTTCTTCTGTTGGTTAAGTCAAGTTGTATGGGAGGGGGATAAGTCCAAAGCAACTCATTTTTTTTACGGAAATGAAGGTCAAATTCAAATGAATCACACCAGATACCATGAGAAAAACTAAATTTTGTGGTCGAACAGTAGTTGTGGCTGAAACTGTAAATTTACCAAGAAACCTACCTAATCGAACCTAACTTCATAGCTGGGAGGCAACACACCCCCCCCATCCCCCTCCCTCATATTAAACAGAAAGTACTTCGCCAATCAGAGCACACGCATGGTAAAATATCCACTTCATGTCCAGGATGATTTTTCTTAAGGTCTTTTTTTTTCTATCCAATTATGATAACCATTTCATTTGCCAATGCTTCATTATTGAGACATGGCCCCTGTCTGCCTCCCTCGGCCCTAGTAGGTACCAGTAAGTTTACTACGTAAAGGTTGTTTTGGTTTGCTATGCTTTTTTTTTTTTTAAGTTAGGCTAGGTAGTTTAGGTTAGTATTTGGAACACTGCTGCAGTTTACCTTAGAATTAGATGTTCATACCACTATTACCAACTGCCAAGCACAGTGAAAGAAACACGATAACCTTAAAAATTAATGTAAATAAGTTAAGTACAGTATTATGTTTTTTATGTTTTTAATCCCACATTTTCCCTCCTCTTCAAAGCCAAGCCCACATTGTTATCATTCATTTGTGTGCCAGCTATAGTGGCTTTAATTTTTATGATGAGGCTAACACCTGGAGTTTTAATCACCCTCTTCCATTGATGGTGGTCATTGTATTTACAACCAATTTATAAAAAATGAGTTATGAAGGACACTGCACTTCAGTGCTTAACGGGAAGGTGTGGTGGTAAAATTAACTACTCGGTAATACCAATATTATAAGTTAATTTTACCACCACACCTCCCATCAAGCACTGTAATGCAATGTCCTTCATAACTCAGTTTTTTTACAACTCTGGTTGTAAACACAATGACCACCGTCAATGGAAGAGGGTGATTAAAACTCCGGGCATAAGTCGTAATGTTTAGATAACTTTTTTCTTGAATAGTTGGTACAGTACAACCTGTTAACCTGTTACTGTAATATTGCATTAAATTTTTAGGTTAACCATGGATTACTGTAAAATAACAGTGCTTGTATCTGTATGCTGTATATTTGTTGGCAAAATACCTCACTTTTTAAAAAACAGTGATTTCATTCAGTTTCAGACTAATAGTTACTACTCTGCCTTCAGTGGATGATTTTGATTTACAGGAGGCAGTTTGGTAATGGAGAAAAAGTAGCCAGTGCAGAAATTACTGTATCCTTTGAAATATATCAGCTGCCAACTTATTTGAAGCACATGGTATCTTAGCATAAAAATAGATGAGAGTATATATTCTGTATTTCAGGACATCAGCAAATTAACGGCACTTTCACCTGAGGTCATCAGTCGGCAGGCCACAATCAACATTGGTACCATTGGTCATGTGGCTCATGGAAAGTCTACAGTTGTCAAAGCAATCTCGGGAGTCCAGACTGTTAGATTCAAAAATGAGCTCGAAAGGAACATCACTATTAAATTAGGTAATATTCTTGTGTACAGAACTGTGCTAGATATGTACAGTATACCTTTATTTTAAGGACAATGTTTAGAGAACAATCTAGTGAACCATATTATCAACACAGTACAGGCAAGTCCTGAGATTCAACTATTTGAGGTTTGTCCAGTTAACCTTTTTGACCATTATCACTTAATACTGTATCTATTGCCCAAGTTTCAACTGTGTGAACTCACCAATTCAACAGTGTTTTTTGCAGTTGTTTTTATACATCTGCAGCATCATTTTCAGTCTTTCCAGTAGTACAGCTATTCCTCGACTTACGGCATACTTGACTTAAGACCACCTGGATGTACTACCGCCTCGGTCGTACCAAAATTTTGTCAAATTACATATTTTCGAGTCCCAACATTAGTGATTGCGCTGTGTACTGACAAAATTTTCGTTTGTAATTCACTGTAAAATGGCTGGCAAGCTTAAAAGTGAGAGGTTTGTGGTGCTGAGAAGAAAAAGAGACGCCCATTTTAGATTTTCTATGTATTATTTAAGCATTTTCGACTTACGACCAATTCGACTTACGACCTGGATTTGGGTCCCTAACCCCTTCTTAAGTCGAGGAGCAGCTGTACTTGTGTTCAGTGACTACATTGATTTTTATATTGTAAAATTTATACTACAAATCTAAGTCATCCACTCTATTCATCATGGCCATTAATACTGTTGATATTTAAATAAAATAGAACTCATACAGGCCATAGTTATGAAATAAAATTATACTGTATATAATAAAGCAAATTGAGAGTGGTGAATAACTTGCCTCCATTTCTCTATCTCTGGGAATCTATCCAGCTCTTTTTAAGCCTTGTCACAGAAGATGTCTGGTGAGTACTGTACGTGTACTTTATCTATTTTTTCCACAGTAATACAGTATATGTAATTTGCCTGGGGGGATGAGAACACATCTGTCGTAATTATATTATTTCATATGGGGAAAATTAGTTTGACAGTTCAACTGCATTTTTTGGAACGAATTTTGGTTGAATCTCTGGACTTGCCTGTGCTGCTAATGAACTTTTGTTTTATACAGCAATTAAGCCTTAGACGACATCAAAACTTTATATAGATTGTCCTAAAATGCGGCGAGGCTGCAGTACTGTATACAGATGCCTTTTCAAATAATGTTGCCTTTAACTATTTCTTAGTGAAGTCTTTGTATAGTCACCCATTTATTTAGAATAGGATGTTGATGAATTTATGGATGATATTAGAGTTGATGCTGAATCTGAAAAGAACAGTAATGGCATTGTTAATGAACCGCAGCTTACGATTACAAAGGATTTAGAAGATATACGGTCTAGTAATCACGTGAGGAAGCTGATGATGACCGTATTCAGATTAGATAGATGTGCAGTTATCCTGGAAGTAAAGACAGATTTTCATTTACTGTACTGGAGACAATGTAGCTAAGTTAGTGTTGCAGGATCCTGAACACAGCTTCACCTGTGGGGGCATGAGTGACTCCAGATACCTACCTTACTTGTGAATAATAATTATATAAAAAAATGCATAATTTATTGCAAAAAGTGCCTTTGCTATTTTGATAAAATGTTATATGTATTTATATATACTGTACACAGGCACTTAACAGAAAGGGTTCTGGATTCTTTCAGACCATTTTAACTAAAATTGGGTCCATTAGGCCATGGTATTTTTATTTTTTTAATTTTGAAATAATTTATAAAATTTTAGGAGCATTATCATGGGAAGCATAGATGTACTACCGTGCACAAAAGTCCTTTCCATTAATCAGATCTGTGCGAGTCTTACTCACATTAAGTTGAATCAACAGAGCAGCTGAAGGAAGTGCCTTGAGCTGCTTAACTACTCGTAATTCAACCTCAGGTGATTCAGACACTGAGTGATTACTGGAAAGGACTTTTGTGTGCAATAGTACATAAGTCCATATGTCTTAAGGACTCAACACTCGCTTTGTACATAAATGATTATCTATTAAATTCCCAATTAAAATGGATGACAAGGATTCCACCTCGCATATTGCAGTACCCTTGCACACAATGCAACCAGATGAGTACAGTATTGCACATTACTGAATATACTTGCTGATGGTGAAACAACACTCGTGGCTATCATCTTGTGTAGGGGATGGAAAAACACGCAAGCAGCTGAATAATAGAATCATGGGATCAGTACCTACCAGCTGTTATCAAGAAAAGTCTTGTATGCACGAAAACTATTAGTCCAAGGTTTTCATAACATTTATTTAGATAATGACAACGATCTTCTAGTTTCTATAGAAATCTAATGTAAAATTTTTTTCATGGAACAGTGAGGGATATACAGTACTGTGTTTTACATGCTTGTCAAATCTCCTTCTCATGATTTTTGCACAAACTTTGTCATGGAATATATTTTTTTTTTTAATGCATTAAGCAAAAATTTTGTCAGTCAAGAAGGATTCTGCTATATTGATTTCTGTAAACCATGTCAAAGTCATCAGAAGCATAGCAACACCTGCTTCATCTCCTCAGGTTATGCCAATGCCAAAATCTACAAATGTGACAATCCTAAGTGTCCACGGCCTGCGTGCTTTATCTCTGCCAGTTCCCACAAGGAGGATACCTTCCCCTGTGGTAGAGCCAACTGCCTAGGAAGGTAAGCAAAACTACACTCCATCATTGTGTGACATTTCTCTTCTTTATCTTCCTTTTTTCCTTGTTTTCCACCTTAGTTATTTATTTACGTACCCATCTCATGGAAAACATTCTTATTGTATCACATTCTCTTCACTTTACTGTCTCTGAGTATTTTTTTTATTTTTCAATTAGCTGATTATTCTGTCCTGCAGTCCCTTTATTTCTCCAAGTAAAAAAAAAAAGTCGTTTGGATTACCTGACTGACCCTATTCCTGACTGGAGGTTTTTACGAAATTTAAAAAATCAGGTGAAGGAACAATATCAAAAAGGCATACGGGTGAAGCTTACTGTACAGTATTTACTTATGGGGAGCATCCGGCTGAAGCACGAAATTCGTTAATAATTGATCAATCAATATCAATTTCCTGTCGGCAATTAAGGATACCAGATTCATTGTTACTATACCCCTGAATCAGTTCTGCCTAATCCCTGATACAGTATCTGATTTAATCCTTACATTCTTATCAGTTTTCAAAATCCTACTTCTCCATAACTTCTCTCTAAATTACATTGAAATCCATGTGGAATATAGTTAATTTACTCTTCTTGAACGTGACATATAGATATTTTTTATTATCGCTTTCTTATTGGGTGAATGAATTTTTTTCCAAACAACGCTTTTTCCTCCAAATATTTATAAAGATAAATCAGCAAATAATAAACCGAGCCAAATATTCAGAAAATCTATATATGTTGTGCCATACACAGTATGTTATTCTACTACTATACTTGGTTTCATTTTATTAGAGTGAGCCTTAGGGATTTGAAGGTTAGATAAACTCGTTCTGAGATACGGGCCGATAAAGGTGGCGTGAAAGCAACTCGCAATCATGCCTCACTCTCACCTGTTTGATGTGTCGGTGACTCTTGATGATGGTCTCCTGTGGTTAGCTAGCTAAGAAAGGTGCCAGATCCTGATTTTTACCAAGTGATTGGTATTACTTTTCACCAAAGTACAGTATTATTAAAATATTTTTCTACAGCTTTTCCTATGTAAACAGAAGGGCCCTCTAAATGAAGGGGGGTAGAACAGTATGCATAGCTACATAAATATACAAATTACGCAATAAAAATACTTCGGCATATAGCAATAGAACAGCTTTCCTCGGGAATTTTTCTGAATATTTTCGAAATTTTCCAATTTTCATCATATTTTCAGTCGGACGCTCCCCTTAATGGCCACTCACTAGAGGTGACCATGCCAAGGGAAATAGGCCAGTGGCCTGTGTAGGGTCCTTCCATTTTTATTTATTTATTTTTTCTCCCAGTACAGGTACTGTTAGTGATTCCACAGCTTGGGCTGGTAGACCATTTCATAGGTCTACCAGCCTCTATGTGAAGAAGTATTTCCTTATGTTCATTCTCCATGATAACTGGGTGAACTTGTAGTTGTATCCCCTTGTGATGGTGGTGCATGACATTACAAGGAAATGGCCTGGGTTCGCATTTTCCATCCCTTTCAGGCAGGGTTGTTATGATTTAAAAGAAACTCGTACAAGAATTTGTTTTATTATCATTCCTTGTGTTGTGTGTTTTTACTCTTACACAATGAAATTTATCTAAGGGACCGTATTTTCAAAGGTTTAATATAAAAGTGGATGATATTAGTCAAACTAGTAGACTTACTGAACCAAATGAAATGTCAAAAAAATATCTGTCCACATTGTGTGAAACATTAGGAGACCACAGATGATAGATATTGGGACATGCATTGACTTTGGTATATAGTTTAACATGAGTAATGCAATGTCATTTATTTCAGCGTAATTTATATGATGTTTGGTTGCCAAATGTAGTAGGATCTGTATGCCACAGAACCACACTTAACAACCCTCCCGGGACATCACGAATTACATGTAGTATTTCGGAAGTCATTGAACCCATCCTGGCAAATGCTTTTTTGAGATATTGTACTTAAATATATAATCCTGTACTGTATATTACTATTGTCTTATGTTTTCCTGTTATACTTTGTCCTGAATCAAGGGCTGTTGGAAGGATAGCAGTTATTTATTTAATTATTATTAGTATGAAAATGTCCAATTACATTAGTAATTAGTAGGGATATTAGAAAATCTAGAAGATAAAATAAAAAATCTAGAGATGCTGCATCCTCAATATGTTAGAGAGAGAGCACATTGGGGGTGAGTGAGTCATATCATTCATTGAGTTACACGTGGTTACATATAAAGAGATGATTACCTTTTCTGATGAACTCTTTTTTTTCAACCTTAGGGTGTATTGTGCTTCATTTATAGAGAGAGGGAATAGGGGAGTCCAAGTGACATCTCTGAAATAAATAATAATAATCTGTATTATAATATATCCTTTTTTTCAGGTTCCGGATAGTGAGACACGTATCTTTTGTAGATTGTCCAGGCCACGACATTTTGATGGCCACTATGTTGAACGGTGCCGCTGTAATGGATGCTGCACTTTTATTAATTGGTATGTTGCAAATTACCGTATTTAATGCAAAACAACACCTTCAAGTAAGGGGTTTTCATTACTTTTTTAAGATTATATAATTTTAAATAGTACAAAATTAAGGAAAGCATGGGAATTTGGGCAGTAAAAATACAAATAAAACTTTGGCTACAGACAAGTTTAGCATTCATTTAACTTTCGCTAGAGAGCTGGACTAGCTTAATTCACAGTATTGACAACAGGCACTTAGCTGATGAACAACTTGTTGGACATCACAACAGAATAATGCCCCACCGTCCTTTTCTGGCACGTGGGTTGGAAGATTGTTGTGCTACTAACTGAATCATGGTGACCTCTAAGCTGAATAACTAATTTATCAAACACATTTTACGTCCTCTTTAGAGATTGCCGTCATATTCTTTGGGTTGTATCCATCAGTTTTATGAGAGAAACAATAATTGTTTTTAATTTTAAATCAGCTCCACTTAAATTTGATGCGAGTCAGTTCCTTGTTTATGCATGGTATGGGCAGCAAGATGCAGACCCTGGATCACTTCCATGCTTTGGTTCATTGTTAAGACTTGAGGTTTTCAGCCCTGAAATGAAGTCTCTTCATTGATTGAGAAGGAGAGTTGAGCATTGGAGACCAGGGTATTAATTGATTAAAAAGTTACATTAAGGGAAGTGTACAGAGTGAGAACTGTGTGAAAGAGGTGAAGTTGATGAAAAAGGAATTGTTGTGTTGAGTGATTGCTGTGTAAGAGTGAATTTTGGGCTCTAGGTGCAAGAGGAAGAAGCTTGTTAGAAGCACCAGAGATAAGTCTTGAGAGCAGTATATGAATAGATTACAAAGTAGGAGAGATGATGTACAGTAATTAGAATAAAAATTTAAAATTCACTTGAGAAAGAGTTAACCAGGGTTTGCTAAAATAGAATGGACATACTGAGAGAATGCAAAAAAAAAAAAGATTAAACCGCATAATGCTGAGTCGAGTGGCAGGAGGGAAAGTTTTTAAGACCAAGAATATGGAACGATTGGGTTTAGGAACTACAATAAATAAAGGTTGCAGGAAACTTTACGAAGAGTGAAAAAAATAATTAAAAAAAGAAAATTTTTTATTGATTGTTCTGTGAATTTCCTTACAGCTGCAAATGAGACTTGTCCTCAGCCACAAACCTCGGAGCACTTGGCAGCTATCGAGATCATGAAGCTCAAGCATATCCTCATTCTTCAGAACAAAATTGATCTCTGTAGAGAGTCACAGCTTCGAGAACAGTACGACCAGATTCTTAGATTTATTCAAGGTAAGATTGCATAGCTGTTTATGGGTAATCCATTACAGTAGTTGTTCTATGTTCTTTCAAGCATGCATTAACCACAGTAGAAGACCAATTGCCTTTCCTCATATTGGTATGTCTCTATCTACATTTGGCTTTTTACTATATTATATGCCTGATTACTTCCTTGTAGTCTGAAAGATTAGATATAATATATGCCCTTCTGTAGTTTATAATCATTTGTAGCTATTCTGTAATATATAATTATGAGGGCAGAGGTTGCGTGGATACAGCACTCGCCTCCTATTCCAGTTCAATTCTAGGTCACTCCCGGTTCACCCAGCTGTAAATGGGTACCTAAATTTACAACTTGGTGAAGTTAATGCGGTCGAGAGCAATACCAGCCATGCTGCCTCCTTGTGTACCGAAGGCTTAGTACACAGCGTGTAGTATCCACACTGTCCCTGATGGCCAGTCATGCTTATGGGACCCACTTTCACTTTTCAGTATATAATTAGATAAAATATTTACCCTTCTGTAATATATAATTGGACATCTGTAATATACTGTATAATCAGGTGTAATATGAAATTCTCCCATTGTAAGTTAGATATACAATAGTTCCTGCTTGTAAAATCTTTAAGGAATAACACTGTACTTACCTTCTGTAAGAGAACTAGGTACAGTAGTCCCCAAATATAAGATAATGAGGTAGGATATTCCCGCTCTGTATGGTGAGGTTTAAGATTCTTTTTAAACAGTGTAATGAAGAATAATACTCTCCTTTGTGTAGGATGAGATGTAATGCATTCCTTTTGTATAATGAGGTATTACACTCAATTGTAAAATGAATGATAATACTTCCCCTATTCTTAAGTGAGTTATAATACTTCCCTTATTATTCATTGAACTATAATACTGTACTTCCCCTATTCTTCAATGAGCTATAATACTTCCCCTATTCTTCATTGAGTTGTAATACTTCCCCTATTCTTCAATGAGCTATAATACTTCCCCTATTCTTCAATGAGCTATAATACTTCACCTATTCTTCAATGAGCTATAATACTTCCCCTATTCTTCAATGAGCTATAATACTTCCCCTATTCTTCAATGAGCTGTAATACTTCCCCTATTCTTCTATGAGTTATGATAGAGTAATGCCCTTCTGTAGGACAATATATAATACTACAGTACCCCTTTTATATGGTTTTTAGGTTCCAGTCAGACATGTTGGTACCCAAGGGCCTAGGGATTGAACTCCCTAAACTTGCTAGCTATAGAGTTGCTCAATTCCAACTGTCATGAAAGTGTCCTGTAGTCTCCCTAAATAGCTCTAGTGTTAGATGGGTAAGGAATTAGAGAATACTGTACTGTAATTCCCATTTCCAGTATCACTAATCTTAACTTAATTTGGCAACTAACTCCCTTAGTCATTTTATTTAGTCAAGTCACTGCTCTAGTGGACATATATACAGTAATGTCTTCATTACATTTTAGCTTTTTATACAGAAATTCTAATTATCAGTAGAGAGGAGTGCAGTATAGTTAGAGAATGATATCAGTAGTAAACTCAACTCTATGACTAAATTTTCCTGACAGGCACAGTGGCAGAAGGTGCACCAGTTATCCCCATTTCTGCACAGCTCAAGTTGAACATCGATGTTGTGTGCGAGTACATCATGAAGAAGATTCCTATCCCAGATCGTGACTTTATGACAGAACCGCGACTCATTGTCATTAGGTCTTTTGATGTCAACAAACCTGGGTGTGAGGTTGAAGACCTGAAGGGTGGTGTGGCTGGCGGCTCCATTTTAAAGGGAGTACTCAAGGTGAGCTCATGTTTTTGACTGGCTGTTTATAATATTAATGATGCTTCAGGTCTCAGAATTAAGCTTCATAATTGCTTTTTTTATCGAGGTCAATGTGACATGGCTGGCTGACATCCCAATTGCAGCCCTATTAGAGAAAAAAGAGTAGTCAACCAACAGTGTACAGCATTATATGTACTTGAATTTTTCATATTCCAGCTTGTCTCGGACTCACATTCATTATTGTTTAATGTGTCCACTAAGTACCAAAACTGTTGTGCCACCTTTCCATCAGCCACCAATAAATCAAACTTGATTTATATTACAGTGGTCCCTCGGTTAACGAACACAATCCGTTCCAGCAGGTTGTTCGTTAACCGAAAAATTCGATAACCGAAACCATTGTTTCAATGGGTTTTTGGGTAATTGGTTCCAGCTCACTGAAAATTGCCTAAATTCAACAAAAAAGGGAGAAAAGTTCACTTACTTTGAGGTGTGTATGTAGAAGGCTCCTGGATGATGATGATGATGATGGGAATTAGAATGGGGGTGGAGGAGAAGGAAGAAGAGAAGGCATTGGGGTGGAAGAGAAGTCACCCCATGGCACCATTTCACCCATAAAATTTTAGTTCTCTTGGTGTATTTCAAGATTATTTTCTTTAAATCAACACTGCACTGCATTATATATTATCAATATGTAAAATATATTTCAAAATGACCAATAATTTGCTTGGAAACACAGAAAAAAGCGTTAAGTTGAAGAGAGTCTCAAGCAAGATGTTACCTCCAGTGAAAACAGAGAGAGACTAACGCCTGTTTGCTGTGTTAAGAGGCTGGATGCCGCGCATTAAACTAGTCACTTTACCTTCAATTATGTTCAATAATTGTTAAAATGACTTGATATTTACTAAAATAGTAAGGAATTTAAGCCCTAGAACCGATTAATGTATTGGCGGACTAATACTAAAGCTGGTTGACCGGCCAGTGCAAGCGAAAACATGTTGAGGTCGGTTCGTAAGAAATTCGTTAACCGAATTTTTGTTCATTAACCGAATTTAAGAATCTTATGGGAGGCAGTTCGTTAACCGAAATTTCGTTAACTGAGGCGTTCGTTAACCAAGGGACCACTGTACTTTTAGTTACTTCAAGGTGTAGTGATTAGAATATAGAGCTAAAGTCTTAGCTGCTCACCATCCAGATCTTCAATAATTACAGGCATCCCTCAGGTTGTGCAAGGGTTTCATTACTTAAACAATCTCCTTAACTCAAAATCCAGTGACTGAAATTTTTTTTTTTCATTGACTTTTATTGTAGAATTGGAGATGCATTTATATGGAAAAAATACCCCCCCCCCCACACACACACAAACAAAAATTAAATGTCTTTGAGACTAATTTTACATACTTTTTTGTCCAGATTGGTCAGGAAATAGAGGTGCGTCCAGGAATCATTTCTCGTGACCCAGAATCTGGCCGTGTCGTTTGTAAGCCAATCCGATCCAGAATCATATCCCTCTTTGCCGAGACCAACGAGCTTCAATTTGCCGTACCTGGTGGTCTTATTGGTAAGTACGGATGTCTGTGCAGATCTTTGTGTAGATAAGTTATGTATTATGGACGAATAAAAATTACAAAATACAGTATATGGACACTTCGCGGGTTTTGTTCCTGGAGGCTATCCATAAGCCAAAAGTGGCCTTTCCATAAGTAATCATTGAACACACATGGTACACATAATGTATATACAAATACCGGTGCTATCTAGGTATGGGAAAATTTATCCTTGATGCTTGGGACCTGGGGGTTGCCAATAGAGAGTTACTTGGGAATTTGGAGTGCCAGACCTAAAAATGAAGCATCATAGTAGGTGGCAGAGGCATGGTAGGTGACACAGAGGCATGGTAGGTGGCCAGATATGCCGAGATTTTCCCAGATAAGTTTATAAATCTCGGCATCTCCCGAGTTATACAATAATACATTCCGAGACTATATCCACGCTGAGTTATATGAAATTCCAAGTTATCAGATGCCAAGTTACCAAGGGTTTACCGTATATACACACACACACACACACAGTAAAACCTCATTAAGGCGAACCCAGCTGAGGCGGATATCGCTTAAGCCGGACAAAATTATTTGCCAAAAATTTATTCAAAAGTTTAAAAAATCTAACAAAATTTGTCCTCAGATAACATGTCCACCTTGAGCCATAATTTCAAGGGATCAGTGCACAGAACACAGTGCCAGAGAGTTGTCAATTGTTGTTTGTGGGAATATTATTTCATTCACTCTAGCAATGATACATTGTTTCTTATTATGTTATTGTAGATAAGTGCATGGTTTATAGAAAAAATATCACTGTGCCTGTCAACATTCTCAAATTAGACTACAAGATATGTATTTGATATGTATTTTTCCCTTACGTGTTTTGATCGTACTCCTGGCAACGGGAGCAAGTGAGTGACCACTAGTTAGTGTCGTCTGCTCATGTAACTCCTCACTCCCTGCCATATTTCACTGAATTTACTGTTATTATTAGTGTTTACTAATATAATAGTGCTAATAGTGATTACTCATGGCATTGTAGCCAGGTTAAACTCATCGCTGTAACCACCAGGCAACTGGGCCATGCTGTGAGGTGTTATGGTTACTTTTCAACTTCTGTTTTTGAGTCGATATGTGTAACTGTCTATTTGTTTTTACTCGCATACACACCATTCTACATACATACATATTGTGAAAAAAGTAAAAGAAATAATTGTCCTAAGGGCAAACATGTAAAGAGAATGTACATTTCTTTGCACACAAGTTAGCTGGCTCAGTGAGGGAGGGGGGTGGGGAGCGTTGCTAGAGAATCGGCGTCCCAGCTGATATCTGTTACCATGGTGAAGCAGGGAGTGTATGCAAATGGTGACTGTGTTAAACTTTCATTTGGCTTTTATTTACTGATTTGACAAAACAGTATTTTTTGTTGTAACTTATCTATTGGTATTATTTTTATATATTCCTCACATTTCCTGCTACTGTATATATTATTTTAATAAAACTATGGCTGCAGCAGGAAAACACACTCAAAATTTTTTTCCAAAATACTCCCTGCCATTAAGTACAGTACAGGAATGTATTTACTGTACGATGTTTTTTAAATCATTATTTATAATTTTTTTAGATACAGTATACTGTAGTACATTCACCGTGGGCTGAAATAGCATTCATAGTTTTTGCATTATTATTGAAAAATTAAACAATAACATGGTCCCTAAGAAAACGTTTAGCATCCATAAGGGTGGTGAGAAGGTTCAGTCTAAAACCTTATTAGTGAACTGGAAGTAAGTGTTCAGTACTTTTTGTACATTACTATTTTTAATTAATTTTTATTAAAAAACGTGTATTTCTTTTAAAAAATTGGATATATTGGTGTTGTAGTACTGGTTTTTTTTTTTTTTTTTTTTTAATATGGTGGTCTTTTTGGAAAAATTTCCGCTAAGGTGAACAACTTCTTATCCCGGACACCCCTTCCCCCCAATTAGTTCGCCTTAGCTAGATTTTACTTTTTTTCTGCAGGTAAGATTGAGTGTATGCAACTAAAATAAGAAAATTACGTATATCTACCCAAAATATGAGTTAAAAAATAACCATAGCATAACATAGAGCTCACACATGGGGTATGGTAGGAAATATCCCTGCTCAATCCAGGAATTACTTGGCGCTCATTCTAAATAAAACTTAGAGAAAGTGTCCATAACCTGGGGAGTGTCTATATACAGTCATCCCCTTATATTTGGAAGGTAAAGTTCCATACTGTTTATTGAACCCATTTTTCCAATATGCTCCCATTATATATATGGAGATAGGATCCTACATAACAAAACATTGACTCTACAATGTAACAAATAAACATCCAGGTAATAACATAACATAACAAACTTTTTTATACTCTCTGAACATAAACAAACATATTAATGCAGCAATTAAACCAGTGGAAGAGAGAGGAGGTGCGTGTGTGAGTACATGAGTAATAATGCTATAAATATCCCCGTAATCCCTCTAACACATCGCCAGTCAGCTGTGAGGTGGCTACACAGATTACCATTATTTTCATATAATGAAACTATAGAAGTTGTGGAAACATTACTGTTCTTCAATACTTTACTGTGACTAAAAAACAAAGAAAATACAGTACATGTACAATTTAAAACTATAAATAAGAAAAATGAAGAACATGGGTGTGTATGTGTGGGAAGTTAAAGTAATGTGTGCGTACAAGGAGTGGGCTGTACTGTAACTACAATGCCAGCCTAGCCACACTCCCTCACCTGGGGCCCGATGTGACATCACAGTTCACTGTAATTTTGCAACTAGTTTTGATCAATACCCAAGTGAAACTAACAACAGAACATAACAAAGAGCGTTAGTGAGCATGTGGCGGTGAACAGGTTCAGCACCGATACTATGTATATACTGTATCTGCAGACATATTTACCGTTATAAAATGTAATTATCTGCAGATGTACGTTGGGGACAAATAAACCTTGGCTGATGGTACCTGTCAACCCTGATTTAGTAAGGTGTGGAATTCTATGAATAAACTCTTCCACCCCAGTTTAATATTCTTGCACAGTTCATTTTAACATTGAATGTGCTTCCTATTTAAGATTCATCAGTTGTTCTATTGTTATCATGAAATTCAATTAATCAGATTTTTTGTGATGTTAATTTCTTATAATGTCAACAGGTGTGGGCACAAAGATCGATCCAACCCTTTGTCGAGCGGATCGTATGGTGGGACAGGTGCTGGGAGCTGTGGGTTCTCTTCCTGAGATCTTCACTGAGCTTGAGATTTCTTACTTCCTTCTCAGGCGATTGCTTGGTGTTCGCACAGAAGGTGATAAGAAAGGGGCTAAGGTAAGATGTGTAATATTGTATATTAGGTCTCTTTGTCTCTCTCTCTCTCTCAGAAAAAAATCATTTTCATGCAGTCTTGAGTGTTTAGGCACAGGGTGGGTGGTGAAGGTGATTCACATGCACTGTATTTGAAGAATATTACTGGAATGATAATGTTCACTGTTACTGTAATGTGAATAAGATTTGATTGTGGATACCATACATTCCAAATAACGGACATCTTTTTGCCTGGATATTTCTAACATTATTACAGTATTACCTTTGAGTGATACATAATGGCTCAAGTTTGCTACTTGTGCACTTAGACTGCTGTTTAATGTTTTATCAGATGAATTTGCAGATACATAATCAGAGTCGTAAAAAGTTCCGGACTATATTACTTAAGTAAAGGTATTGTTACATTGGCAAAATGTTACTTATGTAGAAGTAAAAGTATTCAAAGTTCAATGTACTCAAGTAGAAGTAGAAAAGTATCTCATCCATAAATTACTAAGTACTGAAAGTAAGCAGTAACAACAAAATTATTAATCATCTCAAATATTAAAATAAATCTGCAGTAAATCTTTCTGTTGAAATTTATCAGTAGCCGATTCTCAAAATTATGGCTGTCCAATTGGGATCTTTTAGGCCTAAACATAAGCCCGACATAACTAAACAGGCACTCGGAAGTAGCAGATGTGAAGAAACGCTTTTGATTGGCTAGCTTCTAAGTTTGTCTTAGAAAACCAGACTAATAAAAGTACTGAAAATTTTTAAGTACGTACTTATTAAAAAATACCCCAAAAGTTACTTGAGTACAGTACTCGGGTAAATTTACTTCGTTACTTTACAACTCTGTACATAATACCTGTACACAATATTTTTTACTAAGTGCTGAAGATGTGTTGTGGTAAGCATGAGAGAAGGAGAGCACTGGCAACATGGTGAGAGAGGGTTAAAACAATCGGCTGTTCATGCTTTGTAAACAAGGACCAGGAATTTAATACAACGCAATGACTCATAATAATATATCAACCCAACACCAAATGAACCTAAATATAAGAATTGTGGTGAACTTGCATAAAGGCGTGTTGAAGGGGTCCTGTACTCTCATTTCAGGATTTTTATTACTAATATTTTTATTATCATTCATAAAGCACACATAAATTCTGCGGTTACCAGTATTTACACAACACTTTACCAAACAAAACGGTCATATCAGTGAAATCGGTGGTCTACAATCAGACTTATGACTGATTTCTTTGAAATAGTCCAGGTGCTGTAAGCAGGGTTATTGCTCACTCCCCTCCATATCAATTCTCCCCTTTTTTCGCTTTTTCCAGACCGAGGTCTGCCTCAATTATTCCGGTGTATTAAGGTACTACTGTATAGCAAGATATTATAAAATAATTTTCCCATTCAAACCCACGTGATACAATAATGAGTTAGTATTTAAATATAAATCGGTACACTACTGATAATGCAGGTGATTTGCTTGTCTTGGACACTAGATATTCCTTATGTAGATAAAATAGACGTGAATAAGTACAGGTATTGTTCGATCCTGTTTAAAGAGCTACAAGTTGTGGGTTTACTGTATTATTTTTATTATTATTATTTAAAGTATATTATATATTTAGTAATATTATCAGTACAGTGGTCCCTTGGTTACCGAGCCCAATTCGTTCCAGAAGGTTGCTCGTTAACCGAAACCATTGTTTCAATGGGTTTTGGGGTAATTGGTTCCAGCTCACCGAAAATTACATACAAACTAAAAATAAATGCAGTGAAGTACATTTACTTTGAGGTGTGCATGTAGAAGACTCTTGGTTGATGATGATGGGAATTAGAATGGGGTGGAGGAGAAGGGAGAAGAGAGGGCAGTGGGGGTGGAAGAGAAGTCACCCCATGCCGCCATTTCACCCATAAAATTTTAGTTCACTTGGTGTAATTCAAGATTATTTTCTTTAAATCAACCCTGCACTGCGCTATATATTATCAATATGTAAAATATATTTCAAAATTACCAATAATTTGACTGGAAACACAGAAAAAAGCATTTATGTTCAAGAGTCTCAAACAAGATGTTCCTTCCTCTGAACTGGTAAACAAACTGACGCCAAGCTTGGTGTGTTGAGTGGCTGTTTGGCGCGCAAAAAAATAGTTTCCTGTTATATAAATTATATAAAACTTTTAAAATTATTGAATAGTACAACCTTCTTGATATTTACTAAAATGGTAAGGAATTTAAGCCCTAAAACCGATTTCTGTATTGGCGGACTAATACTACAGCTGGTGGGCAGCCAAATGCAGCCGAAAACATGTTGGGAAAAATTTGTAAGGAATTCGTTAACCGAGGGTTTGCTCGTTAACCGAAGTGGAGAATCTTATGGAAGGTAATTCATTAACCGAGGCGCTCGTTAACCAAGGGATCACTGTATTAAGCATCTACCAATATGTAGTGTACAATGGGTCGGTAAGTGGGTAGTGTTTGATTACCTCAGGGAGTTACAACCCTGCCTTGTCAGCTGTTCTCACCTTGTGGGTTGGTGATACGATGGGCATCCAGCCATAAAACTGCTTCAACATGCCAGATGGCAAATTTTACAAAATTCTTGAATCCAGAACACCCCCAAAATTGAGTATCTACTGTATTAAGCTTTTAGAGTTGAAACTAGTCTAGGGGAGTTTACCGAAAGTAAAATTTAGTCCAAAAAAAGGCAGAAATACACTAACTGTACTGTTTTAATTTTCTAGGTTCAAAAACTGACAAAGAATGAAATGTTGATGGTGAATATTGGATCTTTATCAACTGGTGGACGAGTTTTGGCTGTTAAAGCAGATTTGGCCAAGATCACTCTCACACAGCCTGTATGTACTGAAGAAGGAGAAAAAATCGCCTTATCCCGCAGGATTGATAAACATTGGCGGTGAGTACCAAAATCTCCATAGTAAGACAGTTCTAATATTTGTTAATTTTTTCTTTAATTTGAATAAATTCCCCAGTGAAAAAATATATATAATAAATAAGGTGAGAAAATAATGAACCTACCTATAGATCTTTCATCTAAAGTGCCATTCTTTTTAAATGACTCTTCTACTGTTTCATTTACTGTATAGCATTTGTAACCTCACATCAGATGTTCATGGCTGATACTAATCTGGTTATTACCAGTATTTCTCTCGTAATCATTGCTCTTAAAAAAGGGATAAATGTCATCCCATAGACATGGTGGATACAATACATGATTCTCCTTCCCTAACTATGTTGTAAAATGGAACATCCTAAAACAACCAGCCATTTTGTGAGTTCTATCGTAGGATGAGAACGGTAATCTTTACTTTCTTTTCTTTTCAGTCTAATTGGTTGGGGTCAAATCCGACGAGGTGTCACCATAAAACCTGAGTAACCTGTAATCACCAATAAAAGGGGGATTTGGTTCAAGGAATATTTTTGCCTTGCAAAATTAGGTAAATTAACAATTGAAGGTTAAGTAAGTCGATGTAGGATATATTACTATTCTAAAGAAAAGAACTAAAGGGCGTAGATTATAAAAATTTTTGGCTTTATCATCATATTTCAACAGTGCTCTTGTAGCTGAGTCCCTATATATTGACTGGATTTTAAGAAATTGTTTAGTGTTTTTTATATAATATTTTATAGGGCCTCAGGGAAGATACACCTATCCTTGGCAACCAGGTTTTGTCATGTTCTCAATTATTTAAAGAAATACACTAAGAGAGGAAAACATCTTTCAGGTTCTGTATGGTACCTTGTCATCTAAATTTCTAATAAAATATTTACAAGTTGTATAAATGTTTTTCAACCAAAAATTTATGTAGCAAGTTTATAAGTGTCTGAAACCCAAATTAGACAATAATTTTCAGTATAATTTTTTCATACAGTATAATGCTAGCCAGTGTTGGTTTTTTCCCTTTAACGCCACTCATATCTGGTTGTTATGCCTAGTATACATTTGTCGACGTGCCATCTGAAACTGGAAGTCTGTCTGACAGTATTGGTCAGGCTTGCCAGATGAGCTGTACACACCAGCAACTATCGTTCATTGTCTGACCACGGTGTTGCAAGCAATAATTTCGCCCATTGATCCTTAACCCTTTCAGTGTGGTAATTAAACATTATGATGGCTCTCCATATGCTTTGTTAATTTGAGAAATTAGAATTAAATAATAATATTAACCAATGTATGTCAGATAATTTATCCCAATTATCCTGATTCTCCCAGAAACACCAAAAAAAAATTATACCATCTAATATACTATAGGAATAGCCATGTGTCTGTCTGGGCAGTCGAAACAGCACAATCGTTTTTCATCAAACTTGTGGAAAAATCACAAAAAATTTGTAGAGTGGAACAAACCTGGTCCCATGTCGATGGTTTCTTTAGGAAGGCATTAATTAACCATTTTATTAACGCTGGAAAACGATGCAAGTCTACGGACTTGGCGCACCCTCATTCTCTGTACGCTGTCAGCCGGACGGCAGTTGCGCGCTAGCCAAGCACGGGCGTTCAAACTTTCACCGGGCACGAAGGGCCCGCGATCACTTGTGTATGAACTATACTACAGAGTTTTCAAGTTCCGAAAATGTCTACCAAGTGCTGTGCGCCGCGCTGCCAGACGTATGATACACACGTCTGGCAGTGCACAGCATTTGGTAGACATTTTGGAAACTTAAAAACCCTGTAGTATAGTTCATACATGGTATAAATTTTTGGGGGTTTCTGCCAGCCATATGATAAACACGCATACCTCTTGCAATTTCTTATTGTACAAAATATCAATTACATTTTCAGTGTCAAATTGCTCCGAGAACTTACAAAAAATGTACTATTAGCCAGACGTAAATTGTCTGAATCTTACTTTCCAGTATAGTCCAATACGTGGTTCCTGATTGGTGACTTGTGTCAATGTGATGTACATATATGCATATACGGGTACATAATAATAATAATAATAATGGCAAGAGAGAAATATAGGATTGTAATATCAGGGAGGGAGGAAATGGTATGGTAATTTACTGTAAGAAAGAGAAGGAAAGTGTAGTATATGACGAAGTATGAGGAAGCGAGGCATTGGGGAGGAAAGAAAGACATAGAGGAGAAGACAGAAGGGAGGGTGGGATAATGTGTTTGAATGTGTATGTGTGTATGTTTGAATGTGGGTGTGTGTGTTTGAATATGTGTGTGTTTGAATGTGTGTGTATGTGATGTTTGCAAAATCAAATTCTGTTGAAAGACAAATGAATACAAAATTGAATACAGTATCATAATTTTTATCTCAATTCCTACGTTTTTACCCCTTTGATTTTTCTTTCATTCTTCAAAAGTTGTCATTTGTATGGTACTCTATGAAACAATCTGGGAGGCAGAGACCAACATCACACTCAGTACACATCTAACGAGTGGTTTGGTGGCGTCTGTTACGCCTTACAGTGTGTGCATATACATGACACCTGCAATCTGCATGGCAGGGACTTCTGCCGGGAAGTGCCGTGGATACACTGGTTTATTACAATAACTTGTAATAAACCAGTGTATTCACTCCCAGTAAATACTACTACTTGCACTGTCACTATGTTGAAAAGCCCTGTAGTTTGAGCTTTTCCCCATGTAGTTATTATATATCTTATTTATATCACTTTTTATGTTATTTGTAATTCGAAAACCATTCCCCAATTATGTAACTGTTTATTTTCAGCCTTCTGGCTGCCAAGCTCTTTCAATAAACTGTTAATTATTATTATTATTATTATTATTATTATTTAGTCTTATGGGGTTTGACAGCAGTTGAACTCCTACCAGGCCTTGTGGTATGAATAGGCAAACTAAATTTTGCAATCATTTGCCTTATAACTGCTTTACTGAAGTCTAGCAGTGGTGGCTTTTTGCCTGTTGTCACAAGAAAGGTGTAGTAAGTATTTAGTACTGACAAATCAAGGATATGAAAAAAAAAGATTTTGTACCACTTTAGAGATTTCCTCATGCAATCGACACTGGTGAGCATCATGTCAACTTTATCAACAGGTCCAGCTTTGCATGTACAGTGATCCCTCGGTTAACGAATTACCTGCCATAAGAATCTTCAATTCGGTTAACGAACAAAAATTCGGTTCACGAAATTTTTATGAAATCATGTCAACATTTTTTCGCTTGCTCACCAGCTTGAATATTAGTCCGCCAATACAGTAATCGGTTCTAGGGCTTAAATTCGTTCCCATTTGAGTAAATATCAAGAAGGTTGTACCATTCAATAATTTTCCAAGTTTTATATTAAATTTTTTAGTCATTTTAACACTTATTTAACATAATTGCAGTACAGGAAACAAGATTTTGGTGTGCCAATCAGCCACTTGACTCACCCAGCAAGGCGTCAGTTTGTATCTGGTCAGTGGAGGTAACATCTTGCTTGTGGCTCTCTTGAACATAAACTATTTTTACGTTTTTACAGTACAGTTATTGGTCATTCTGAAATTTATTTTATATATTGACAATATATAGTGCAGTGCAGTGTTGATTTAAAGAAAATAATCTTGAATTACACCTAGTGAACTTAAAATTTTATGGGTGAAATGACGGCATGAATCATGGGGTGATTTCTCTTCCACTTCCTTCTCCACCCCCACTTCTAATTCCCATCATCATCAACCAGGAGCCTTCTACATACACACCTCAAAGTAAGTGTACTTTACTGCATTTATTTTTACTTTGTATGTAATTTTCAGTGAGCTGGAACCAATTACCCAAAATCTCATTGAAACAATGGTTTCGGTTAACGAACGACCTTCTGGAACGAATTGTGTTCGTTAACCGAGGGACCACTGCAGCAGGTTTCTGTATTACTTCTCCACTGACACCATTTCTTTTGGCTGTGTTCACCATTTTGTCCTCATGTATTGATGTACATGGACATCACGCGTGTCACGCCACTTTATACACATTATTTTATTATTGTGATATGACACTACCTCACCACGATTGACAGGTGGTAATTTTAGCATGTTTTTTCTATTTACTTGAACTGTCCCACATGTTCCACTGTAGTTGAGATGAAGAAAATCAAACAATTTTGGACTGGTATACCAACTATCAATGTAAAGGTTGTGTCCCTTACCCAGATAAGGTGCCAGCATTCTCTTCACTATTGACCTAGAAAAGCCAAGTTCGTGGTCAAATTTTAATTCTGTCTCAGTACCAGTACAGTACACAAAATGTAATTAAAAATATAGCCAATCTTTACATCACAAACTTAAAAAAGTTTCTTACCAAATTTATGGCATTTCTGAGGCATGCACTGGAGAAAGGATAATCTGCCTCGCCATAACACAGGACTTTCATCAATTCAAACCTCTTGATATGGTTTGAAATTTGAAGAAAAATTTTCCCTAATATCATCAAAAACCATTCTAATCTTTCCCATTTTGTCACCTGGCAGTTGTGTTCTGTTATCACCTAAATGTAAGTGTTTCATTGTTAGCAGAAACCTGTCATAGGTCATCAGCTTTACAAATCCTGGAGTTGAAAATGTTGTATCCTTCGTCCAGTAGTCCTTCATGTGGTGCTTTTTTAGATGAACCATAGCCATGGCTATACAGAAACAAATACATTTCGTTTTTATTTGTTGGAATCCATTTGTGTATTCTACTAAATGTTGGAAATATTTGTGTCTGAATGAGAAAATCATTATAACTTAGTTTCCTGCACAATTTTGTTCACGAGGTCGTCATCAAAAAATTCCACTGCATGTATCACATATCCCTACATCCTCGTGAAAAGGGAACAACTTAGGAGTGAAAGTACTGCTACTCCAGCATGATTCATCCTGTCTTGTGATCAGCTTCCTCGACTTACCCATAAAACCTCTTGCTCCTCCACTTCTTCAGGTACCTGGCTGGACTTCATTGTGCTCGTCTATAAATAAAAAAATAGCTGATACCAAGCCATACTAGCCCTTAAAAAATATGTTAACAAAAATTATGAAAAGATCACGACGCTAGAGTTTGGAAAATTAGGAATACAGAATTGATCAAAAGCCAAGATATATACAGTAATTCATTATGAGAAAAGGACTTGAATGATTTTAAATAAAATATTACATTATTTTGTTGCTATAGAACTTCAGTCTAGTTGCATTTATTACACAAACCTGAAAAAAAAACATAAATTGTAAAATAGATATACGAATATATTAAGACAAAAGAGTTTAAAAAATCTGTATCATAGTTCTATTATCATTTCTTTTCCAACATAATGTACAGTCTCGTTCAAGATTCTTCAAACACTGCTGGAGACAGCTGGCAACTCAAGGCCGTTTGTTTACTATAGTATGTCGTAAAATTATGAATAAATGTAAAAGTGATCGGTGATTGGTTACTTGGTTCCGTGTTGCTTAATTTACTGGTTGGGCTTTGTTGTTTCATATTATATTATACTACGTACTATAGTAAACAAACGGCCTTGAGTTGCCAGCTGTCTCCAGCAGTGTCCGAAGAAACTTGAACAAGACTGTACCTTATTGAGTTTAAGAATAATTTCATTTACAACATCCAGTATAAAACTCTATTCTACCAACAGTGTAGAGCAGTTGTTTCTGTTGTTTTTTGTGTAAGAACATAACTAGTTGAGGGATATGTGAATGGTGTGGATTGAGCAGTGTGAAAAGTGAAAGATGAAGAAAAAGTGAGTAGGGAAAACGGTAAATTTGCATAAGTGCACACAACTCTGTTAGAAATTCAAAAATATGTTTTCTAGTGTATTTATGTGTATTTAGATCGGTTATGACCTTCATTTCCGTCAGAAATTGGCTGTTTTTTTCTTGTTTTTTTTTTTGGGGGGGGGGCATTTTCCGACAAAAATTACAGCCAAGGGAATACACAAAAAAATACTAGAAAAACATAAACCTGACCTGACCTGACCTAACCTAACTGACTCTCACCATATGATGGAATCACTTATTTCTTACCTTATTGGCCTGGTTCTCGTTCGTTGTTGGAGTTAGCACAATGCCATGTTGGTCTTGACGATATTTACATTCGTTCTTGCACTTAAGACACTTTACTGAGGTCAGGAGAACACCATGAGATCGAAAAAATGCTATAGTTTCTTCATTTTTTTCCTAAAAACTCGCAATCAGCTCCATATAATTGAAGTGCCACCCATCGCAGACTTCCATGGTTGGAAATTAATTTTAATTTCAAAATATGTGACCCAAAATAAAAGTCGAATTTGATTGGGCCAAAAATACCACAAATCATTTTCATTGGTTGCCCCCAAAAAACGCTTTTGATTGACAGCGTGATGTGTACGGGATTGCATGGCATGATGATTTATGAAGGAGACGCAGTGAGGCAGGCGATAATGGCGGAAGATTAATGGAAGAAAATAGAGAACATTTTGGATACGCTATCTCCGTTATTATACATTTGCGACGGCAATTTAATAGAAGAAATTTGTATTATAATTAGACGTCTTATTCGAATATGAAAATAGATTAGGGGTAGGAATATTGTGCGCGGAAGTGCAATAATACCGAGGAAACTATGAATGTTGAAGTGTACTGTGTTATATAAATGGTAGTGTTGAAAAATGTTAGTGGCACATATAAAGTGAGTGGTAAGGACTGAGTGATGATAACTGTGAGTGTAGGAGTGAGGACAGTGATGCTTATCACTGGCTAATTGTGGCTCTTGTGAGCCAAAGTCTGACCTTCGCTTTGAAGAATACACTGGGAGAGAGAGAGAGTCTATCTACCTATCTATCCAACTATCTATATTTATATCTATCTATCTATCTCTATCTACAGTATTATATATATATATATATATATATATATATATATATATATATATATATATATATATATATATATATATATATATATATATATATATATATATATATATATATATATATAAAATCACAGTGAAAAGGGAAACAACGGAGCACCTTAGTTTTCGTCCTTATTCAAGACATCTTCAGAGGCAACTGGATTACATGGACAGAGATAGGCTTAAATATACAGGGTGACCTTATTAAACATGAGGTCAGGTCATAATGATGTTGTGGGGTACTGTTGTTTGGGTTCACACTCAGGATGGGATGGAGAAAGGAAACTCACAATGTGCTCTCTGTATACATATTGTATTGGGTGTACAATGCAGCTTGGTGCTGGGAAGGCAGCATGGTTACAAGCGTGATGTAGAGAGAACTGGTTGGTGAGGATGCTCAGAGGAGGACCAGCTTGTGGGTCGCCAAGCTGGCAAGCTCGCCGGAAGGAGCGAGGGCCGCCAGGCAGCGGCGGAGGAGGTGGTGTTGCTTGCTGCGGCTGTAACTAGAAGAAGAGAGATAGGTCACATGACATGAAATGCTAGTGACAGGGGGGAAGGAGGTTCAGGGGAAGAATAAAGGGAGGATTGAAGTGAGTTTTAGGAGGAGAGAATAGATGCATTGACTAAACACCGCTTGCGTGAGGGAGTATAAGATGGAGGCAGCAGCAACGCGGCCGGGAGGCGACAAGACAGAGCCAGGCTAGCGTCAGGTCAAGCGTCAGGTGCGTGTTGGGTTGGGCAATGGATTTTCAGTGCTTGGTCGGCTTGATTGTGTGTGTTGGTTTCTTGTGTGGAGGGAATGTCTTGGTCTTCTTAGCTTGATGTCGATTTTCTTCTCACTCTCCTCCTCTTCTTGCTCTCTTGAAGTGTCCATTCATTTGTGTTTGGGTCTTGTTGTTCGTCTTCCTCGTGTTTTAAGTCCTCATAGGTGTGGAAGAAGTCAGAGACGGTGAGGTTGACCACGTGGGCTTCAGCTCCACGGGCCTCGTGGTGTTCTTGGTTCTGTGTGGTGGGTGTCTTCTCTTGAGTTTTCTTTTCTTGGTTTTTCTTTTCTTCTGGTTTTTTTTTGTCTTGGGAGCGTACAGCAAGGAGGGCCTCTTTGTAGCTCAGTTTCTTGTCAAGACGAGCCTTGGCAATCCTGCATTCCTCCTTCCATTTCGGGCAGGTACGATCGGCGGAGGAGTGTGGGCCACCACAAGCAGCGCATTTTTTTACAGTGTTGGGGCAGACCGTGTAGCGGTGTCCGGGGCTGCTACACATGGAGCAGGTGTCCTCCTGCGCCTCACACTTGTTTACAGTGTGTCCGTAGTGCTGGCATTTGTAACACCGTTTCGGTCTGCAGTAGAGCTTGACTGGCGCAGTTACCCACGCCAGTTGAGCCTCCTTGGGTAAGGTGGAGTGGTGTCCGATGAGGGCAGTGGTGTCGGACAGCTTCTTCACAACTTGGAGTTGCCCCTTGAGGAGCTCACTCAGCTCTGCTTGGTCCACGTGGGCAATTTCGGCGTGGGAGATTACTCCCAGCTTCAGGTTGTCCCACATGTAGGCAATCATTTTAAATGGAATGCCGTTGATGTCTGGGATCTCCGCGAGCTGTACGGGCATGCCCTTCTCGGCGAAGGTGATCTTGATGTCTCCATGGAGCTTTAGACGTTCCACCTTGGTGACCCCCACGATCCCATTAGTTTCAAAGAACTTCTGGAGAACTAGGAGGTTTAATTTCTTGGGGCAGGTCGGCGTATCCGGACGTATCCGCGCCACGTTATCAAACTCGTAACCGTTCATGGTGAGAGAGGGTTAGAGAGTGTGCTGCTGTTGAAAGGTCACCACGAGGTCAGGTCTTATATAGCGGAGGTAGGCTTGGCTTAATAGTTGACCTCCGTCATGTAAGGCGGCGCTGGTTGACCTAGACCACGAGGCATACACTGGGGAATTTGCGGGGTTGGCTACTCAGCGACAAAAGCGTTTGTAGGGGAGGGATCCACTACAATGTCATCCACTAATCCCCACTCCAACAAACAAACTTTTTAATTCTAGCGATAAGGGACAATCCTTGAAAAACTATGAGAAATATATCGAAGACTGTAATTACTACCCTCATGGGACTTGGCCAGCAAAACCAGTAACGAAAAAGAAAAAATCTGTGGCACATACGGGGTAACGTAACCACCTCAATCATGAGTTGACAGTCGACACAAGCGTGCCGCAGCTGTGAAAGGGTTGAGCCTTCCACCTGGTTGATGGGTCATAGGTGATGCACCTGTGACTTATTAAATAAATGTTCATATGCCTTCAATGTGAACTACCCACACATCTGAATAATAAAGCGTCTCAGAACTTAGTGTATATTCCTATATTTAAGTTAGGTCCGTTTACGTATCATCAGTACATATATTCGTCAATGTTAAAATTGAATTTTCTAAAATTCAAGTTTCTTTCATCGAATAAGTTATTATTTCTTTCATTTGTTCCTATTTCAGAGAACAACTAATTAGTTAGTTGCTTATTGACATTTCCTGTGTGTAATTCTATAATGCAAGAATCATTAAACAAATATAAATACATATAATACTTATAATAAATTGAAGGCAGAGAAGATATATAACCATGTCTACATAAACAAGTGATAAACAAGTGTAAATTTTCTTCTCAAGTCAATTTTGCGAAGGTTACTCATTTGATTTTACACCCCTTTCAACATCAATCCAAATTTGGCATTACCGCAGCCAAAACATTTTCGCCCTGAAAATAGTTATCATCAGTGTTTTCAGGAAGGGGTCGCGACACTATCATCAAAAGAAACAGATGTGGCGCTTGGTGTGTGTATGACTAGTTCCTATGACACCATTTTGATGAAGATTGCCATTAAACCTCTGCTACACACCTGTCTTCCCCACACTTGTAACTACTGTATAACTTCCCAGCTTGCAAATATTAACATTCGTAACATTTTTCGCTGAACTAATACTGAATAATTTATATTCTTCTGAAGATAATAAAATCATTGATTTATATACTTCTTATTTTTTTCATTTAATTTTATATTAAAGAACAACTATAATATGTACACTGACAAGTTATATTCTTTGAGTCGTTGTCTGTCTATTTGTCTCTTAATCGGTGTACTGTATTGACTTGTCTCCTGTCTGTATAGTCGTGTAGGGGTAATTGTAGTGGATGTCTCCTCTACAGTCGAGTGTCTGGGTGTCTATAAACTTTTTCCTATCTGTAACACCAATCTTGTGTCACTAATTATATTTTGATGAAGCTTCGTGTTAATATGTATCGTCACCAGATAAACTACAACGCACACTTTTTTCCTAAATGCCCCCGAGTCACCCTCATTTAGAAATCGAGAAGCAGAGGCCAGCGTTCACAGAGAGAAAACCGTCACCTGCCTGTCACTACTCTCGTGCACCCTACACCTGTCGCTGCAGAAGCTCCGCAGCACTCAATACAAAAAGAGCGCCGCGCTACCTCGACCACCAGATGAGAGCAATCGTATCATCACAGCCTTTATAGGTGGACGTCTCCGATTACTTACTGACCGGTGACACTGGTTTTACCTTCACTTGTTGTGTGACGTACTGGATTTTGCTTTACAATACGTGAAGTGATGTAGTGTAGCTGACAAGATTTATCTGTAGGATGTAAAGAGTTCATAAACGCAGAGATAAGACGTATTTACAGCCGTATATGGACTATTAGATGTTTGCTTGTTAGCACATCCACTTCTCAGGCCAACATGACCAAGGTGAAGACGAAGGTCCTGGTGGTCCTCCTGGTACAATCTATAGCAGTTGTTACACTGTGGTTCTGGACCAAGGACTCGGGCACGGACCTGAAGGTTGGGGACTCAGCTAGAGAACTAAATTATGAACTGTGGACGAGAGACACGAGCAGAGTACTGAACCTGCAGGATGACGACGGAACGAAGACCATCCGTGAGGAGGTGACGGAGAGAAACGAGGAAGGAGAGTCACATTCATGGTTGCGAGTGTCCGAGTATGGACAAGAAAGCTCTTACGTAAACCATGAAGGGTCACAGTCAGAGCAACACGACAGCCCGAGTTATGTCAACGATAACCAAGAAGTCGTTGTCTCTGTAGAAAGTGAACAAAATGAAACCTACAACCAGGAGACCTTGATCATGAACAGTATACAAAACGGAAAGTCTGTACCAGGAAATGCGAGGGAACTAGGAGCAGATCAGGAGGAGCTGTATGTGGCTAGATATCTCAGACAACGACGAGAGCTGATCAAAACCACTTGTGAGAGGCTTCACCCAAGCTGCTCCCTGAACTCACCGCTCGTGAGCAGGAACTACTACTTCCACAACTATAGTACCACTGTGTGTACAATAGCCAAGGTAGGCCAGGTGGAAAATGCTGCACTCTCTCTCTCTCTCTCTCTCTCTCTCTCTCTCTCTCTCTCTCTCTCTCTCTGCTTCTCTGACAAGAGACGTCGAGGCTGAGTATGTGGTGTTCTTGTCCACAGCTACGTGAGCAAGAGAAACAGAGAAAGGAAGAATATGAACAGGAGACGATAATATGAAGATAAAGGTATAAAACAGGGACGTCATAAAACTAAGTGTCTTTTTATATTCTTTATATAACATTTCTTATTTTAATGTACAATACGTGCACTGCAATTAAGGATCCGACGTCGAAACATAATAGAAAACAACAAATTTCACTTTTCGTCTCTGAAAATGTCTTCCGTGGTGCTGTCTGAGAAATCATAACACAGTACAGTACTTCTTTTAATACAGGCAATACGAAACAACCTAACCTGACCGTATGTAACTTGACCGAAAAAGATTCTAGGATCCTTAGGTGAAGTTAGGTTAGGTTGGTTCTTTGGCCTGTTTTAAAAAAGAACAACGGTGGTCGAAAATTTATTCTTTTTTTTAGATCCGACACAGGTTAGGTTAGATTAGGTTAGGTCGGTTCGTTGGCCTATTTTAAAAAAGAACAACTGTGGTCGATTTTTTGTTCGTTTAGATCCGACACTGGCTAGGCAAACTACAAATACAGTACATTCAAGTTGACAAAAACACCCAAAATTTGAGCAAGGAGAACTGAAGATTTATAGAAAACACACGAACTGTAGTTTCATTTGTGCTCGTGTCTACTTGTTTCCGAACTGGTACTTATTCATACAGTACATTCACCAATCCTTGTACATGAACCTGTCCTTGTATCGGTATTTGTACTTGTAATTGTAACTCTACTCGTAATTATGTCATTATCTGCCCAAGTACCTCTACCTGTCATTGTACTTGTTTACTGTACCTGTCGTTGTACCTCTACCTGTCGTTGTACCTCCTGTACCTCTACCTGCCCCTGCCGTTGTACCTCTACTTGCCCTTGTACCTCTACCTGGCCTTGTACCTCTACCTGGCCTTGTACCTCTACCTGGCCTTGTACCTATACCTATCCTTGTACAGCTACCTAAGCTTGTATTTGTGCTATACATGTATCTATACCTACACATATACCTAAACAGTATATATGCATTTATGCTTATATACCTGCACCTATACACGAGTTTATACCTGCACTCATTGTTACAGGCCGGGTCGTCCACCTGGAGGGCACACCTGCGGAGGATCAACAAGGGACCACCATCTCACCTGCCCATCTTCCAGGACCCCCTCAGGGATGAATTCCTCGCCCGACCCCGCCCTGACGTTATCAGGGATATCCAGGCCTCAGCCAAGATTATAACTGTCAGGTAGGTCATCCGAGGTCCTTACCATCAGTTCGGTGAGACAAGGTCATCGCCATGAGGTACGTGAGACATGGTCATTACTATCAAGCAGGGAGAACAATAAGCATACAAGAGTAGTGTCGTGTAGAGATCAACAATGTCATCAGTGTTTTGTCTTGACATAAACAAGCTAAATCACTTCAGAATGCAAATCGTATAAATCTAATAATTTTTCATTTGTTTTATGTTGAAAAATTGTAGCTCTTTCTTTATACACAGTAAGTGGCCACTACTCTTTATAGCTCCAGTAGCGGAGTGGTTTTTATATTGGCCTTTAGTCCTGTCACGGGTACGAATCTGCATCACTGATATCATGTGTGAGTTATTATTAATAACATAACTATTCCCCACTTAAATGTTGTAAATAACCCAAGTGATTCACAGATATCCGGGTGTCAGGGGTGGAAATAAATGTCTTGTCTCACCGTGTACTGTATGTGGGTGGTTATGTGACACTCGACATATGTCTCACGCCCTGGGTTGACTGGTAAATGTTCACAGTATGACTATGGACCTTCCCTCTCCCTTCAGTCCACCATGAAAAGAAAAACTGTCTTCGGTACCTTGTTAGTGATCTGGGCATGAAAAAGTACAATGTAGTCCTAAAGCCGGCAGGACATACGTCTAGGTTTGGTTTGGTTATGCTTATTGGATAATAAAGTCAATTTAAGTAAGGCTTGGTAGACTAAAGTTTTGCTAAGGCTAAGGAACACTTAATTGTGAAATACATTACGTTAGGTTATATTTAAGTTAGATTAGATTAATTTAGGTTTAAGAGAAGGTTTATTTGGATTATATTTATCTTAAGCTAGGATATGATTAAAATTAACCTTCAGGTTTAGGATGTACTAAGTTTCGAGTTAGCTTGGCTTTTATTGGTTGTCCCTCGTAGTCAGTGTGATTCGACACCTTACAACCAAGATTAATATACAGTAGGTGGCTTTACGTTGTCCGTAAACTGTTGTATTGTAGTGTAGTGAATTCATCTTGTACTGTATTATACCAAATTGTATTTCACTGTATTGTATTTTGTGTTGTAAAGTGTTAGTATATTATAGTATACTGCATTTATATTAATACATCGCATTGTGATATTTGTGATATATTTATTTTATTTGATGAATTTTGACGCCCCACAGACATCCCCTGACGCGCCTGGTGTCCTGCTATCGCCAGAAATACAAAGATGGCAAGAAGCTGCCCTACCACCACACCAACCTCGAGAAGCTCTACCATAAGGTGAGAATCTCCATCACAGAGATGGGCAGTAATGTACAGTACATTACTTGGTAACTACTTAAATAAGTATTTGAATACAATTTCAATTTCAATTCTGTATTAATAAATATTTTTCAGATATCTAAATACGTCTTTAAATTAATTAATAATTGTATTTTGTAACTATAAATACATATTTTCAAATTCATCTGCAAAAAAAAATAATTTTATGCGACGTGGAGGAATTTTTTCTACTATTGGGAATACAGTATTTTAGTCTCATTGAGAATTTAATTATTTAACTGTTCCAAACGTTACTGTGTTATGTTTATATGATTTATTTGGTCTCTTTTGCTGGTGTTGGGAAACAAATGAAAGGGGGAAGAAATGCCAGGTGTGAGCCGAAGAAAAACTGAAGATGGGAAATAAATGTAAAGGGGTCAAAAAGGTTAAAAAGCGCACTGTACTACTTTCGTCTGATGGTGGACCCTCAAATATGCATCTAACTCTTACGAAACATTTACTCATTAATATTATTTATATACTGTATTTCATTTCATCCTGGGGGAATGTGGGAATGTTTGCCGTGTGTTTGTGTCGTCCACAAACACCTTTTTCCTCGAGTTGATTCAACGCAATCAACTGTTTGCATTGAATTTGAATGCTTTCACTAACAATCTAACCTTGACGAGAGCGATGCAGGAATAACTGCCGAATTGATTAACGATTGTTGGAATGACACTGGTTGTATACCGTCGACACAACACGAGAGACAGCTCCCAGCCAGGCCACAGTACCGTCTCCAGGACAGGTACCACTGTTCCAGCACACTCGTTAACTGCAAAAACCAGTCAACCCTACTTAATACCTAGCAACAACCACCATGCCCTTTTGATTCGAAATAATGCTATGTCCACAACTTAAATACCACACTGGAGACATACCTCTTTAGTAACGTTGTCAGACAAAATACAGCAGTAACAGTTTCCTTCCATACACGATTATCGATGGCGATCCATGCTGCCTCGACCGCATTTTTTTTTTTCTTTTACGTGGATTAGCCCACCCGGACACAGGTCAATGACCCACATCGGGGCCGGGGGAGGGGACGGGGATGTAATAATAATAATAATTGAAAAATAAAATTCATATTAAATAAAAATAATGAAATAATAATAATAATAATAATAATAATAATAATAATAATAATAATAATAATAATAATAATAAAGACATCAAAAATGTAAAAAAAATCAAGAGTGAGAAACAATATATGTATGTTGTATTGTCATAGTAAAAGAAACATTGAGACCCTGCAATTGTGTGTAAATGAGGCAGAAAGACAGATCAGCAACCTGGGACTTGGTCACAATTTCGTGATGCCATATAGCAGCAGAGTCTACCATTAAACAACACATTATGCTTCCAATATCTTCCCAGGCAGTAGTACCTCCCAGTTTGGTAGCTGCCTATTACCTACTACCTGCTGCGTGACTCGCGCTACTGTAGGCAGCTACCAAGCAGGGAGGTACCACCACCTGCGAAGATACTGGAAGCATAATGGTAGACCCTGCTGCTATATGGCATCACGAAATTGTGACCAAGTCCCAGGTTGCTGATCTGACTTTCTGCCTCATATACACACAATTGCAGGGTCTCAATGTTTCTCTTACTATTGACAACACAACATACATTTTTGCATTTATTTATTATTATTATTATTATTATTATTATTATTATTATTATTTATTGTATTAATTATTATTATTATTATTATTATTATTATTATTATTATTATTATTATTATTTATTGTATTAATTATTATTATTATTATTATTATTATTATTATTATTATTATTATTATTATTATTATCATTATTATTATTATATTTCGCACTCCAGGCCCTGATGTGGGTCAGTGACCTGTGCCCGGGTGGGCTAATCCCCGTAAAAAAAAAATCGACTAAACTCAGCGACCAACTCCAACCTAACCCGAAACACTAACCAAACCCAAATGAACCACCACCAAACCAACGAAGTCTCAAAGTTGCTACTCGTCCTGACAAGCATGTATTGTTTTATTTATATTTTAAAAATATAATATTAAACTTGGTGTATGCATTGACTCACACACATTTGTCTTTTTGTCGACAGACACACGCTGGTGCGTATTGGTCTGACAAGGTGCACCAGTTCTGGGTGCCCGCCCTCCACAACAATGGTCTTATACCTCACGACTTACACCTGCGTCTCGGCCTCCAACAACCCTTTGACCCAAAGACCAAGTAAGTTCCTGTGAATTTTAATATTTGACCCCAAGACCAGGTGAATCACCAAGGTTGCTGCTGACATTTGACCTCAAGATTCAAGAACAACAACAAGTGCAACATCTGTGGACGACTCTGCCGGTCCCGTATCGGCCTCTCTATTCACTTCAGAGCTCACCAACGAAGGTGACATCCTTAATGACTCATATCATGTTATTATAGATAGATGATTGTCATACTTGATTCCGCGTGACAGCAAAGTAGCAGTGTGTGTGTGTGTGTGTGGACAGCGGTGAATCGTGGTGGCTACAAAGTGTTGGGATGAGCCTCAAGACTAAGACAGTGATATGCAAGTATTACATCCACTAAAAAATTATAGGGCACCCGTGTCATATTGTATCACGCTGTAAGAGTGCCGAATAATTTTTTAGTGGGTATACATTGGCGTGGATATGTGCCTGGATGTTAATATAAGTTGTTGGATCTATGTACACCCACTAAAAATTATTCGGCACCCTTACGGTGTGATACAATATGACACAGGTGCCGAATAATTTTTAGTGGGTGTACACCAGAACCCTTTTCACACAGGTACACGACGGAGGTGTATGAGAAGCTTCAGAAAATCCTGCAGCCGCGTATCTCCTTCACACAGTTCCTGAGACACGTGATAGTCACTTACAGGGACAACAAGCCCGACGCCCACTGGTGAGCTCCTCCAACACTAAATTGGCCCCTTTTCTTTTTTCTTTTTTTTTTTACGTGGATTAGCTCACCCGGGCACATGTCACTGACCCACATCAGGGCCTGGGGGGCGAAAATATAACAATAATAATAATAATAATAATAATAATAATAATAATAATAATAATAATAATAATAAATAGAATTTAATAAAATTATAATAAATAAAATAATAGCAATAATAAAAATAAAAACCATAAATAATACAAAAATAAAAAATAAATCAAGAGTGAGAATCGACATGCAATATGTATATTGTGTTGTCAACAATAATAAAAACAATGAGACCCTGCAATTGGCAATTGTGTGTAAATGAGGCAGAAAGTCAGATCAGCAACCTGGGACTTGGTCACAGTTTTTGTTGTGTCATGGCAGGAGGGTGTGTCATTAGACAACGCATTAGGCTTCCAATAACTTGTCGTACACATTAGGTTAATTTCGTTTTCTAACTGGTGTAAAGTTAAAGTAACTAAATGAGATAAGAGTGTCAGTGTAATTCTAATGGCATTTTACTCTATAGCTTAAGTCAGCCAGTAATAGAAGTTTTGATATTTTCTGTCAAGAGGAAAATTTAACTAACGAACCACTGAAATTTTTATCCAATATTCATAAAGTGAACAAAAGCAGATACATAAACTTTTTCAGGGATATCAACAATAGTCTACACATCTGAGTTTGAGGTACAGTGTAATGTTCGTTTAGTAACAATGTCAAGAAAGTGGTGCTTTTAGCTACTTACAGTATACAGTATGTGGCTGAAACTAATTATGTTGTTGTCTATGTCGTTATTGTACACGTTTTGTACAGTATATAATAAACAGAAACGGTCAGAGTACATTTACTGAGCTTCGGGGTACACAGCACTTGTGACGTTTACCCTAGTTAGATTTTATGCCGTTAATGCCATTTACCGTTACTTTCCTTATAAATTTATAATGAGGGACCTTATCAACGGGTTGTTAGTCTAGTTGTAGGTATGCCACATCATAGTAATGTCCATCGTACACAGATTCGAAAAATCTTGAAAAAATTATACTGAAATAAATTTGTCAAGACATAAACGCCCTCTTTAGTAAAAGCCTCGCTGAGTCATTAATGAATTTGTAACTACTTCGAGATCATATTTAGATCTTCCTTAGTAAAAACTGATAGAAAATATTTATTTATTGGAGGTGGCAAGAATTGTGTTGTGTGTGTGTTGTGTAAATCACCTCTTTGCTGCAGGGCAGACTACAACAGTCAGTGTTGTCCCTGTTATTTCGACTACGCGTATGTGACCAAGGTGGAGACGCTCACGGAGGACCTACAGTACGTCTTCAGGGTGCTGGGACTTCCATCTGACCCATCCGTCTCCATGAACCAACTACGTAGAAATCTTGACAAACCGTATAGTGATTTTTGGTTAGTGGTCACCCAGTACTGTCGTTACCTAAAATTAAAATAAAAGTAGTTCAAAATAAGTTATTTAGTATAGGTATATAATAATAATAATAATAATAATAATTTAATTTTGGCCGCAGTGTGATACTCATGTTATTTACAAATATTTTAATAAAACTTAAGTGAACATGTATTATCACTATTATGGGGAGAGTGAAGAACACAAAACTGAAATACTAATAAGAAGTCAAGAGCCATCGGTGAAGGTATAGAACATGGGAAACAATATAACTGATATACAGTAGGTATAGTATTTTGATTAGGTGTTTCGTCACTGATAAAATATAGAATATCACATTAAAGTCTTTGTGACACAGGTTAAGGTCACAGAAAGGACAAACGTCAATACCCTGTCTAGAGGATAATACTTTTATCAATGAAGATATTTTCATGAAATGCCACCTGTATGGTTATCACGAGGACATTGTGCAGAGCCAAGGTTAACTTTTGAAGATCCTCAGCATAACTCTTCGTGTCCAGTAAATATTTTGATGAATTTCAGATGAATATTTATTATCATTAGACAAAGTGCAAACATTAAACTCAGATCCCTTCGTCAAATTCAGCGTTACAGTCCAATGTAGTGCCATATTTTGCATATTCTATTTCTGATAGAATTATGCATTTTAACACATTATATCTTTGTTTTTCAATCCTACCTTTTAATCTTTTTTTTTCTGAAGACAAAAACCATTTCACTCTGTAAGTTACAGCTCGGAGAAAATATTTTTTTTGTGAAATGCATGTTACATCTCTCCCCTCCTTTCACCGCTTAACCAGCTTCCACCACTGATACCAGCGGCCAGGGTCGTATGTACAGAAGCAGTAGAAATCTCACAAGAGTTGTCGAATTGCCACTGGTTGTCCCGTCAGTCCCCGGTAACTTCCCGACGATCGGTATCAGTGTACAGACAAACAATAGGCAGGTAAATTTCCACCAGGTCACTGAAACACACTTGTGCACTGTAATCTTCTTTAATAAAAACAAATTCTTCACAACACTGGTGACAGTCTTCACAGCTTGACTCCACACTTCGAATATATAGTCAGCACACTACCAGTGTACAATTCCTTAGTCTTCTCACTTTATATTAATTACAACACTTCCACAATACTTGCACAACAATTGTCTTCAGTTGTTTGTTAGACTTATTCTTTACACTATGAACAGAAGTGATTGACTAACTCTACTAGGTTTTTAGTTACAAGTTTAGAAGCTCCAAAAACTTTTTGGTAGCGAAAGGCAGAGCGGGGAAGATGACAGAGGAAGGAGCAGGAGGTTAGGACGGGAATTGTAGTGGGAGAGATAGTGCCGTGGCTTTACACGACTGCGTTTATTTGGTTAGCGCATAGCGCACGTATTGGGTTTTTGTCTGTGTTTTGGTGTGTGATCCTCGGGTCACCTCCCCTCCGGATTGTGTTATCCACTCGTCAGGCTTTTCTCGAACATTCTAGAATAACCCAGAGACGCCTTGGAGATTCTACAACGTTTTACTCTGATCGAGGCTTATAATAATAAGTAAATTGTAACAAAAATGATGCAATGCATTCTAAAATATTCTTACATAAGTAATACAGCACGTATATACACGAAAATTTCACTAAATTTGCCAAAATAACTGCTGCATGGGACAGAAAACAATCAAAACACCTAGTTTATAAAATAATAATACGAAATTATGACGGCATAACATTCTTTTTTTTTTATTTGAAGAAATGAATTCGTATCTGCACCATCCCATTTAGGCTGAATTCAAAATTAATTTTTTATTTACTTTCTAAATGTGAGATTCGTATTACTGAACGACAATATTTAATTCATAGTCATTTTTGGTGGAACAGTACCTGCATTTGTAAACTTTTTTATTACACTCCTGCCCGTCTCATATTTCACGTCCAATCAGTCTTACCGATTCTTCTTCTTCTTCTTCTACTTCTTCTTATTATTATTATTATTATTATTATTATTATTATTATTATTATTATTATTATTATTATTATTATTACAGTATTATTATATGATGATGATGATAAAAATTATTGATGTGATGATATTTTTGTGTACTGATTCAATATTTTTTATTATATATATTTTTAAGGTATTATAGAAAAGTTCCTGTTTACTTGAAGCGCCAAATTTATGAGATCTTCAAGTTGGACCTGGAAATGTTTGGGTACCAGTTGCCGCAGAATTTCTTACCTGACGACTGACACACACACACATTTAGTAAGTAATGTGGGTGTCTAGATGAAATACCGCTGTCATCTGTGGACTAGTAATGATGTTGTAGCACTCCGCTTCTTCGATTTGGCGCAGAAAAAATATTAAAACAATCAACAGTAATGAAATTAACAGAAAACTTTCAAGACTAGTGTAGTGGCTAATAACTCTTCCTACAAATGCTCTGCCTACTCGCACAAGAACCTGGCTAGAGGTCGTCACCCCTTCCTTGAAACAATGGCTACTGCAAAAATAAACATATTTTTAACTAAATGAAAAAGGCTTGAGAGCTAGAACCTTATCACGCAAGATGTAAGTTCAAATATAATTATCATGACCTCAGCATATCTAGTTGAGCCCGGATACTGTCAATCTCTTACTTTCCTTCAAGTTTCCTCCCTCTTTTCCTTGATCCTAAACCAATCCCCCCCCTCCCCCAAACTGCCACCAAAGAACTTCCAATCCTAATCCCGGCCCTCCCACCCAGCATTACAAGCAATAGCCTTCTACCTTATCTACAGACGTCAAGTCAAGTCTGCGTTCTCCGCCCGACAACACCAACTCTCCTGAAGCTCCTCAACCACACAGCAACTCTCCAGCAATCTACAGCATTTTATATACAATATACTGTACGTGGAGTTAACGCAATTTTGAGTTTCCTTTCTCACCTCCATCCTGAGTACGAGATCTCCCTTGAGTTACGTGTATATGTGGACCCAATAAAGAGAAAGTGGAATAAACTGCACCACACACACGCTACACTAGGCATTCAATTCAATAGTTTAACGCTTTCCTTAATCTATAGATGGTAACACGAGCAGTGTTCTGACAAGTTGCGCTCAAAGGGGCAACCACCATCCACCCTCAATTTGCTTACAAGCGCATCTGGGAGGCCCCATGACTTTTCTGTTAAATTTTCAATTTTATAGAACCTCCACTTACCAAAACTAAATTTTATCTCAGACTAAAATTCTTTGGAACTCCCTGCCTATGTACTTTCTTTAAATTACAAATTATTTAAAAATTAAATAAAATATATCCTGAACACTTTGCTCAACGGGTGAGAAACTAGCAGAAGACACAGTGAAGAACTGACAACTTAAGTGAACAAAATGACAACTTCATTAAGCATCCACCAGAGAGTGAGTAGCGTCCAAAAAATTAGCCTGTGACAATAGGTCCCTGACAGTAGAACAATTGAAGCAATAGAGTAGGCCCGCGGTGCCCACCGTTTCCGTGTGGATGTCGGTCACACTAGATTCTAGAATAACCCGTTATAGTAGCCTCTATCCTTTTTTCCTGACAGCCAAAACTGTAGAATGCTCTGCCTTCTGTGTTTCCATACTCTTACAATGTCACACTTCAGAAAGCTGGTTTTCTGGCATCTTCGTGGTGTAGATTAATATAGTCTTTTTCTTTTCTATTTCTATTTTATTTTTACTCTGATTTTTTCGCCCCCCAAGACCCGTTGTGGGTCGATGACCTGTGCCCGGGTAGGCACAGGTAGGCTTTTACTTGCTGTTAAGTCAAAATACTGCGATGAACAGGAAGAATTTAACAAATTAAATTAAGTGTATGAAAGCTAAGTTAGGCAGTGAAGAAAAAACTTAAGAACAATAAAAGGGGATTACAAAAATAATTCGCTTCCTTCTGCAAAGACTAAAAATAATTTGAAGTCGTTCGACTTTAACAAGGATTCACATACATGAGATTAGAATCCTCTTTACCTTTACTAAGGGTATCCATTTATTTACTTTTTAATTTATTATTTATCAGACTGTACACACCCCATAACAATTATTTTACTTCTTTCAGGATGTACTAGTTTAAATTATTTATTACTCTTATTTTAAATATAAGGTGTGCTAATCCAAGAGAGGATAAAACCTTATAATGCTAAATCAATAACTGAAAGAGGGAGAGATTTGGCACCATTAAAGCAGGGTGATGACACTCTATTGGTCTAGTGATTCCGGTTACTGTACTCCTGAGATTTGGTATTTCAAATTTAATATATGATAAGATCAATCTTGATAAAATCACACAGGAAAAAGGGGAAACAATGGAGCACCTTTGAGATAGATGTAGGATAGATGATTAGTGGGTCTATAGTTAATTCACCCTTTCTTATAAGCTCCTCTTGTGTTTGCGGTGGTGGTGGTGTGAGGATTAGTGGATGTCATGTTTTTGACCTAACCTCATGCTTTGTAAGGTCACCCTGTGTACAACCACTAAAAAATTATTCAGCACTCATGTCATATTATATCACGCAGTAAGGATGCGAAAATTTTTTTTAGGGGGATGTGCTTAAAAAAAAAACTACCTTGTGAGCTGGTTATTCTACATTAGCTTTTCAAATCCTTATATTAATTTATTATTATATGTGATATTTTATTTGTTATTTTAATATATAGTTTATGATTGTTTTCTCAATTGTAAGTTGTAATAGGTATAGAGCATCACCAGCGACGCCATATCTCGTTTGTTTAGTCCCCCAGTTGGCGTCCCATTCCTTTATTTAGTCTTTTGCTCCTGTGAGTATTCTAACTTATTCCATTCTCTCCATGTTGATTTCAAAATTAACGGTTTGACCCCTTAATCAACTGGATCTCTTAAAAAGCTCATTTAGGGTCCCGGAACAAGACGTGGTGAAGTACAGAACGGCAAAAGTCCCGTTCTGAGGTAAGCCCCGGCAAGACAATGACAGCTGATATCAATAGCTCCAATATAAGACCTAGGCCTGTTCCAGACGCTTTTGCTGTAGGTGAACTTCCGTGTTTCGTTTTAGACCCAAGGCTCCACAATCTGAGTGTAACGCAGTGGTTATTACTAGTGTACATAGTATTGCGGCAAATGAAGTATGTTGTATAAATTTTAAGATTCCCCGATGTATGTGTAGTTGTTGAGGACTTGTGATATTTGTAGGGTCATTGATAAAGTAAGAGTGTTTTAAGATTTAGATTATAGAACATTTGGAACGGTTAATTTATAATAGTGCACCGTTCTTACCCTCTATGTTAGTTCACCGTAGTATCTCTTGGTGTTAGAAGTATGTTTTACGGAATGTTTAGACAATTCTTCACTATTTTATCTTCTATGATATTTCCAATACCGAAAGAAATATAGCCTAACTTAACCTACCCCTTTTTCTGTGTAAAAAAAAAAACTTAGAAAATCACCCAAAACCAACCAAACTAACCTAACCTAACCTTCATTTCCGACGAAAATATCATAGAAGAAAAATGTTGTAGTATTGTCTAAAAATTTGGAAAGACATATTTCTAACACCGAGACATAGAATGGTGCAGTTATATAAAAAGACCTTTGCAACTTGAATGGGTCAAGTTGTAGAAGGCCTGCATTATTTTTCTTTATTTTCACAGAAATTTCACCAATGATTGATTTAGTGTATATATATATATATATATATATATATATATATATATATATATATATATATATATATATATATATATATATATATATATATATATATATATATATATAAAGCAAATCTGGTGGCCAGGCAAGAGGAGTACTGATTTACTGAAGTGGCCAGTATGCTGTGGCATCTAGGCCTTCAGTGCTTCTGCAATTTACAAATAAAAAAACTTAAAGCTTTTTCTCATTTTAGCCAGAGCAAACCATTACTGAGATTGTAATAAAGTTTGGGTATTACTTTACAACAGTTGTGTGCCTTAACTAGCAATTTGAGGAAATTGCTATTATTGCAATTTCACTCCCACTTGGCTTAGAGCAATTTAGGGGGGGGGGGGTTGATAACTATAAACGACTTCGATGTAAATGAAGGTAAAATTAGAATGTATCACACTAAATACCACGGGATAAAACAAAATTTTTCGTCAAAAAACAATTGGTAGTGAAACTGCAATTTTACCAGGAAATTTTTGGGTTAAGATTCAGTAAACGACAACCATGGAACTCTATATTGATTTGTATGTAATTATTGACAACTGAACTGCCGGCAATTTTGCAAAGTAAACACTTATGAAAATACAGCAATTTCACTTTGTTTTATAGAAGACACTTTAGTTTGTGCAAATGTTTTCTTCTTTTTATTATAACCCAACACCAACCTAATCTAACCTAACGCAACCCAACCTAACCTAACCTATTTTATTCTAACCTTTATCTTAACCTAAATAAACTAAACTAACCTAACTTAACTTAACTTAACCTAACCTAGCATAACTTAACACCTGCCGTGGGCTAACTTACTGTTTCTGAGACAGGGTGGAAGCGGTGAGCCACGGCGTTGAGGAAGTGGTGAAGGATTGTGCTCTGGTCTCGGTGAATGTGGCAGAATAGGTGCTGTTGCTTGTTACACTGGAACAAATTCCTCTCTGGCTGTAAAACACAGGGATACCCGCTGTCTGAACAGTCTTTTGGAAGGAAAGCTGCCGTGGTCTTTGAAAAACTGGAGGGCGAGATCGTGTTTCCCCCTGAATTCGCAAATTACGGCCATAAAAGACCAGCAACACCCTTCATATACCATGGTGAAAATGAAACTGGCGCAGGAAAGCACAGCAGGGAGTACGGCGGCATGTTTTGAAATACATCAATATGATTGGCTGCTTACATAATGGGGATGAGACGTCACCGCCAGATTACCACCGAGAAGATAAAGTAGTGCACACCTTAGGCCCCTAAATATCTACCAAACGAAGCATTTGCATCCGAAATGGTTATAATATCGGTACTCACTGATGAAAATATAGTAAGAAAATAAACACCAACACAAATAACTCGTCGGCGGGTCAATTGTCAATATTAGCCAATTTGTATAAGGGAGGTTGACAGAAAAAAAAAATTATAGATGGCACTTTTGTTGGAAATTTATATTTTTTTATTTTCTTTGGCTTTTCGATCTTAGGTTTGTTTGTTCAGGTTCCTTTGGTTTTTCTTTTGTCTTATTGGGAAAGGTTAGGTTGACATGGTGGGGGGTTAGGCTAGACATGTATACAGATATTCGAGAATTGTTAGGTTAGGACTTGATCTTTTTGTTTGGCGAAAGTTAATCTCAACCATTTTGGGGATGTTCTTGATAAACAAGTACTTTTCTTTTATTGGAAAGATTCTTAATTTGGTTCCTTAACTTGTGCACCTTGTTTAAAAAAATTACTCTTTTTAAATTTTGATGTAGTACAGTCCTGTAATTAGGTTAGATTTCATAAGTTTTTTGAGTGGTTTTACCCCACAATTTCCCTCTACTTCAAAGTCCTGCACACTGTGTTTGGTAAAAAATGCATATTTTAAAGTTAAATTGAAAAGTATAAAAAGAATGGGAAAAAAAATGCTATGGAGTAAAGTATTATTGTTTTTTGTTGTCGCCTTATATACAAATCAGTGTAGAGTTCCGTGGTTGTCCTCTTCTGAATCTTGACCAATTTTTCTATAGAAGTATAATACTGTACAGTACTGTACTATTTTACCTCAAGAAAAAGTGCTTAAGGGGGATGGAATAAGTTTTTTGTAATATTTTACAGCATTTTCTGTCCTGAATGTAAGTACAGTATTGCCTAACCTAACATAAATAATGAACTTTTTTTTAGTAGAGGTAGCGTAAATAATGAACTTTTTTTTTTTAGTTTAGGTATCTTAGGTTGGTTCATCTTATCAATAATAAAGTATATAATATAGCGGTTGCTGGAAGTGTTTTTACTTTTTATGTATGGAACGTTTGCTGGAAGTCTTCATTTCCAATATGAAATGATTGCCTTGTAACCAGAGAAAATTACATCTTTGGAGTCTACATAAATTAGTGTACAGGTACAGGAAAAAATTCAAAGATTATACAGTATTACATAATTTTTTAATCTTATAATTTTGGGTGGTTATGAGCATACAAAAATGTCCCTTGTTTTGTATTAACCCTTTCACAGCGGGAGGTTACCCTAAGCTGAATAAAATCATCTGGCGGTAGCCAGAATAAAATGGCAAGTGCTTGACATGCGGTGAAAGGGTTAAGTTGCATTGTTTGTTTTCCACTTAAGTTAAAGTAGTTTTTCCATGCCTCTCACTGGATTTACATTTTAACAAAGACTTGTAAGTAAGATGAAGTAAATTAGCATAAAAAAAAACATTTTACCTCTGATGATATGGTAGTACAGTACTGCACTGTATTCAGTTGTGTTTTCAACTAAAATCAGATATAGTTACTATTATTTTGCTGAATTGACGAAGATAGTGAAACCAAGGTGTACAAACTGATTTAAAATTAAAATAGATACCAGTATGTTTCTTCCGTCTCTTGACTGGGTTTACTTTTTATGCATTAAAACAGATTTTAAAGGAAAATTTGTAGATTTTTTTTATTAATGGTGCAAACCTGAAAGACACATACCATTAATAGGTCCTAGTAAGATAGAAGTTTTGGGTAAACTTGAGGGAAAGGGGGCTAATTTTGTGGAGTGTAATTTATATAGCGACGGTAAGAGACATTGCACGAATATTGACTTTGTGGTTTGAATCATAACCAGGTGATGAACAGATGATATCTCCCCTAAACCTTAGAGCACATGGTAGTGGGGAAAGATACCAGTACAGTATGTACCACAAGGAAATTATGGATTGAAATGAAAGAAAAAACTCAAATTTTCCTTAACTTTACCGACTTTTATTAACCCAATACTGTGTACAGTATTGTACTGTATACTTTTCCTCATCTCACATAAAGACACATGAACTAGTGAAAAGCAGGCCACTGTTTATGTCTGCTATGGTTTGTTGATAAAAGCCACCAATGAACATTATCTAATTTTAACAAGAACCAAATAATTTTTGAAACCATGCAAGTACTTTTTGTTTAAGTCATGAATGCACCTTTCTTTTCTTATTATTGTAGTAGAAAAAGTGCTGCTTTATGTCCATTGGCTTTCCATTAGGCCTATGCTCCATAGCAAACTGTATTGACAAAGAACTTTGATGATGTTGATTCTCCAGCTTCATTAAAGTACATTGTCCAAACCCAATTTTGGTTGGTGCACCTGGCATTTTCAACCAGAAAGCGCTTGAGATTTGGATGACAACTTGCATCATCGGTCAGCAAGAGGGTGAGATTTGTCCAACTGTTGATAATGCGAAAGAGTAAATTGCAGGATGGAAATTGACAACTTTGATTGAGGGGAAGTTTGGGATTATGTTAATAAAGGAAGAGAAGAACAAGTTATAGTTTATGGTAACTGAAAAGATACTTACCCAATAAATAACACAATCCAATGTCATGGTCTCAGTGCTTCCAGTCCATGGAAGTGGTATAAGGGATATTACAAGCCATGTCTTCCGTATTTGTTTCTTGAATGGGCGTATTTACTTCATAGAAAGCAATTGACTGAGACCAATTTAGATTTTTGTTATCAGTTCCCCTTGTAGTCTCAGACTTCTTTCTGAAAGATTCAGAGTTGATAGTTGCACTACTGCACATGTAGAATTACCAAGATGACAGCAGGGGCTCCATATACAGTATTGTTTGTTGAAAATTTGGTTATTTGCTTCATATGTAGCTACAGCATTTTATTCTCAACTGTAATCATGAACATAGGACTGGAGTTTTTGATGTATATACACATTGCAAAAACATGATTACTCATTGCCCTAACCCTGCCTTGCAGATTAAAAACAAAAACAGGCATGCAAAGAAATATGCTTCATTTATGACTTGCATTGCTTGCTTCCCACCTTTCCAGCTTTATCTCTACATTTTAATTATATGTTGCCCCTCATACATACCCCACATTATT